TCTTCAGTTCATCTTTATCTACTGTCTACTGTCTACATAGTGTCTACCGTCTTCATCTGTTGTCTACATCGTCTAGTGTCTATTGTATCTGCATTAGTTGTGGCTAATCGAATCGGAGGACACGATTCTGATTACTTATTCCTATGAATAGATGTCACCAAAGGGACAGCGTTTGACTAGGGCTGCAGCACGCCGTGAGAGTGAGAAAGGAACCCAAACCACTTCAACAGGAAGTGTGAATGGAGGCAATACCGGGCGGACTCGTGCCAGGGGGCAGGCAGAGGAAGCACGTGCTCAAGCTTTAGCCGCACAACAGGCTTTAGCTGCGGAACAGGACCGTGCCGCCGCCCAGGCTCGGGAAGAGCAGGCGTGTATGGCTGAGCAAGCACGAGTTGCGGAACAAGCGCGTATTGCAGAGGATACTCGTGTGGCTGAGCAGGCTCGCATTGCTGAGGAAACTCGCGTTGCAGAGCAGGCTCGAGCTGCAGAGGCAGCTGCTGAAAGAGAAGAGCTGTTGAGGTACCGCGAGAGGTATGGAAATCCTCTTCGTGGAAACCTTAATGCGGAAGGAGTGTTTGGAGGTGCCAATCCGCCCCGTGATGAGCCGCGAGTGGAGGTACATTTACCCCCACCACCACCTTTGGGTCGTGGGCAGGACAGGGAGCCTGTACCAACCTATTGGGAGGCTAAGAATCACGTTCGTCTCATGGGAACTGAGATGTTTGCGGGTAAGAGCGATCCTACTGCCGCAGACAACTGGAGAAAGAAGTTGGAAAGGAATCTTGATGGAGCAAGATGTCCGCTAGCATACCACAGAGACCTGGCCATCCAGTACCTGAAGGACGAGGCGCTGGTATGGTGGGAAGGTCTTGTGGAGAAGGCTGAGGGACGGTATGAGCTCACCTGGGAAGATTTCAGGACGGAATTCTCCCGTAAGTACTTTCCTCGCGAGGCGATGGAAAAGATGGTAAGTGCATTCCAAGACTTGCATCAAGGAAGCAAGACCGTACGTGAGTACGAGGAGGAGTTCAATCGCTTGAGGAGATTTGCTGGTCACTACCCAGGAGAGCAAGAGTTAATCCGACTTTTCCTGAGAGGAATGAGGGTTGAACTCAAGAATCGCTGCTCCATAAGAAGGTATGACAGTATGATTGACTTTGTGGAAACGGCTGCAACTCAGGAGATTGGAATGGAGGAGGAGCAGAAGCTCGCGCAGAATGCCCAAGAAAGGACCGCTAAGGGAATGGAAACCTATAAGCGAACTTGGGATACTGCTAACCAGAAAGAAGGAGCTGCTCCAACTTGTGTGAAGTGTAAAAGGGTGCATCGCGGGGTGTGCAAGGAGGGTTTGTGCTTCCGGTGTGATCAGCCAGGACACATTGCACGGGAATGCCCAATAGCATTAGCAGTAGGACATTGTAGTCGTTGTGGACGGTTGGGACATCTTGCAAAGGATTGCAGAGCATACATACCGCAGCAGGTAGGAGCCAACCAAGAACAGTTGCCGCCACCACCTAAGAGGCACGCCCCTGGACCGCGTGTTGTCATGGCAGGAAATCACAAAGGGGCTGAACCGATTGTTGGTAAGTAAATCCGTCATTGTGGTGCAGTTGTTTAGTTTTGTTTGCCTATAGAGTAGAACCCTAGAAGTATAAGGTCCATTGGGAAAGATCCATTTGAAAGTTTGGTCGGAAACCAAGTGGGAGAGAAGTAGTCCCATGAATTCGGGGGCGAATTCCTTTCAAGTGGGGGAGAATTGTAACATCCCAGCTTCACTAAACCGGCCTGTTATTTTTTTTTTTTCTTCTTTAATGTCTAAAGCCCAAAAGCCCGTTAAGCCCATTAGGTTATAAAATCCCTAACCCTAGAGTTCCCCCCTTCCCTATATAAAGAGAGTTAGAGAGTCAGAATTGTCATCACAATTTCCAGAGCACTCAGAGATAGAAACCCCAAAACCCTAACCTTCAGCCAACGCCGCCCACCGCCGAGGGAGAGAGGATCCGCCGTCGCCGTTTGTTTGTGCCGTCTTGCCGTCTTCTTGAGTTTTCTGCTTCTTGTCGTTAGATCCCTAAACCTTAACCCCTTTTGTTTTAGTTGTTCAGTATATCCGTCAAAGGTGAGGATGTGTCCATGCCTTCCCTTCCGTATTATCTTCCGCGCTTGTCTCCGGTTAAGGATAAACGGATTTTCTTCCCCTGCAGATTGCGCTTATGGCGTAACTTGTAGTTGCTTGTTGTGTGCTTTGATTTACTTTTACTTGTTTCTGAACATAGATCTAGGACCACGGTTAATATTGTTGATTGCTGTTTGGTGTTTGATTGTTTGTGAGAATTGTGGGTTGCATTGCATATAGAGTGTTAAGAGCACAATTGCATTAGGAGCCGAAAGTGATGCAGTTCCACTTATCGGATTGTTGATGTTGCGGTAGATGCAGTTCCTACCTAGACATGAGGTTCGAGAGTGATGCAGTTCCACTTATCGGATTGTTTGGGGTTACGGTAGATGCAGTTCTTACCTAAACCAATAGTTGAAGTGATGCAGTTCCACTTGTAGGGTTGTTGAGGTTATGGTAGATGCAGTTCCTACTTAGACCTAATGTGATTGCTTGTTGTGTTTATGGTAGATGTAGTTCCTACCTAGACCTATTATGATTGTTTGTTGATTATTGAATAGTTGTGAATACTTGTTCGTTTAGCTGATGGCTAGCGACATGTTTAGGTTGTGATATGTGTGGTGGACCACATGTATGCATTCTCCTGGGTAATCTAAATTACTCATCCCCTCCCTTTCCCTTTTCTCCCTTGTTCAGGTGAGCATGAGTGGCGGTAGATTATAATCTACCGCCACTTACTCATCCCCTCCCTTTCCCTTTTCCCTTTTGTTTTTAGGTATTGTTTCTAGTGAAGCAAGTTATGAAATCATTCCTGAAACCAATACAAACCAGATGGATTGGTCGTTTTCTGAAGAGTGTTTCCGTCTTCTTGAAGATACTACTCAAGTGGGTTCGGACAACGTGGTTCCTTTTGGTGTTAATGATGATGTTCTGATCGATGATCTGATCTCTTTTGACCCTGACGTCAACGGTGAGTATGATCTAGACGCTTGTATGGAAAATTACGATTTTAATGAAAGGAATAATTGTTTTCCAACGAGTTATATTGGACATAACTCTGCCTTCAATACCCCGATAGACTCAATCCCTCACGCCACGATGGAGGATCATGATCAGTCTCTTGGTGTGAATTTGGGTTCGACAAGCCAGCAACCATATATGATGGAGTCCTATGGATATCACAATGTAGAAGCCGCAAATCCAAGAGAGGCTATGGAGGGAGTGGATGGTTTTGATGATATTGATCTTGAAAGCATGGTTTGGGTCGATGAGATGATGAGCAACATTGCACATGACATATAGTTATACAACATATGTTTTCTTGGCGATGGAGAGGATAAAGAGAAGAATGAAAATGAGAGGAGTTCTCACACCTTTTAGTACTTGTTTTTTTTTTTTTTTTTAATACAAATGTTTTTCATACATTTACATGTTTGTAAGTCATATACAATAATGTTGCAGATTTCAAAAGTTATTTAGAGTACTCTTGATCGTTATCATATATGGTTTGAGTCTTTGAGATTCTATTTATGTTTATTTCTTTTCTGTCTTTAATTTTCTTATTATGAATTAGTCAAATGTTTTTAATTTCACCATTATGAGATTTTTCATGATATTCAACCCTGCTAAAACCTCTGACCAAGTAATAATTGCTCTTATGTTGATCCTAAAATAGTGGAAAATAGAAAGAAATATTTTGTAGCATTGATATTTTAACTCGAATGGACTAAAAAGAACCAAAAATGTTCTTTTTATAATATTCTAATATTATATATAAATTAAATATTTAAACATTTCATCATGTCAAACGAGTTTTCAGAATCATACTATTTGCTAAAAAAACGTTTTTATGTAAGATGTACTATGAATATCGATTTATTTTTAAGTTTTGACTAAAATTCTATTCAAATAATTGTATTGCTTTAATGGTAGAATAGATAGATATACAGGTTTGGTCAATGGCGGATTAATGTTTCTTAAGTAGGTGCATAGTAAACTTTGTAGATTGAAATCATTTACTAGTAGTCTAAATATAAATTGTACCAAAAATTCTTTATCAAAATGATTGTTCCAAGGAGAATTATGAAACTTATTTGATATTCATCTATTCTTATATAGTCGATAAATATTATACATATGTATTAAAAATTATATAAAAAGCATATTCTGACTCAAATCTGGATATCCTATTTTTTTAAATCAAAATACCTCTATATTCTTCATGAATGTGTAAATGTATGCTTTGATGCAATAGCTACTTCAACTCCTAAACCAGGCAAAAAACAATCTTCCCTAAACTAGTTAGCATCCACAAAAAAACCACCACCACCACTAACAACAACAACAACAAGGCCCATAAACCAAAACATGATCATATGATATATAACGAACTTCTAGCCGCCAAATTTTTGATTTGATCTTACTCCAAACAGAATCTCGTAAGTCTAATAAACACTACCTAATCCACGGGAAAAAATAATGAGCAATTACTACAGTAGTCTTGGAAGCCCATATCAAATGGGCCTATACTAACACAGGCTAAATTTTGATATGTTTAGCGTAAGCTAATTGTTATATTGTTTTCCGGTGAGATGATACAATATACGGTGTTGGGGACCGAGACTTGCAATCACCGGTAAAAAACAAGCGGTGGGGCCGACAAAGTTAGCCGTGATCCAGCTATTCCGGCAGAGCATATTGATCTTTTCCACACTAAAAAGGGCCTACCTAAGACGACCTGAAGAACCTTTTCTTATTCTAGTTAAAAAGATTTTAATCGAAGATTATATATATAGACTATACAAATCCAAGATTAGAAAATGACAAATGGGGTCTCTCCAGATTTCAATTATTTGATAACTTACATTGAAAAAAAAAAAAGATGGTAGGAAATGATGGAGACACTCTGACATTGAAAGTCTAACAATTAGTGTTAGAAAATCGAAAAAAAAATGTGGAAAACAAATATCGACTTATTAAGACACTTTAAAGTGTCTCTTCGGCGACCAAAAGCTCTAAAGAAAAAGACAAAAGAGTAAAGGACTGAAGAGAGAAGAAGAAGAACAAACACGAAATCAATGGCGGTTTCCGTTTCAATTCTCGCCGTCGTCACTGCTCTTCACCTCCTTGCTTTCGTCTTTGCCTTCGGCGCCGAACGTCGCCGTAGCACTGTACAAATCTCTCTCCTTCTCTCTCTTTCAGTCTTTCTTTCTAAATTTCTTTTTCGATTTATCACTCTTTTTATGTGTGAAGGCTGTGGCGGTGCCGGACCAGTACGATGAGAAGACCTTCTGTATGTACGGAACTGAGGCGGCGACGGTGTACGGTATGTCGGCGTTTGGGTTGCTGCTTGTGAGCCAAACGGTGGTTAACGGCGTTACAAAGTGTCTCTGCTTCGGAAAGGGTCTCGTCACTGGTACTTCTTACACAGGCTGGGCTATTGTCTTCTTCGTCGTCTCTTGGTAAATTCAAACACTTTACTCTCTAATTCGATTTCTTTTTGTGTTGAACTTAAAAAGATTCAAGCTTTATTTAGCAACCAAGATCTGAAACTGATGGACATAAAAAGTAGCATTTGTGTTTTAATAGTAAATTCATGATTAGGGCTTTTAAATTACTGAAATTTCTTCTTGTTTTGAATTTGAGCTAAAAGAAAGTTGCGATTTTGATTGTAAAATTTATGGGTTTTTCAACTTATGAAGCGAGTTTTTCCCCTTTGTTTTGATAAAAATCTTCCAGATTTGTAAGTTATATAAGTTTGGTAATGTGATTATTCAGCAGTGATTATGATTAACTTCTTAGCTTTAAGCACTTCACTCTCACTTGAGCGTTGTGAATATCCCATTTGGTTGCAATATATGTGGATTCCACAAGAGCCTTACAAGGATAATAACTAGTTACTTCATTTTTATATCTTTGAGCTGTTTTGTTTCTATCAGTTGTTGCTTATTATCACAATCTTTTGTGGATGAACAAAAAACACATTGCAGGGTAAGCTTTCTTGGTGCTGAGGCATGCTTGTTGGCTGGATCAGCGAGGAACGCATACCACACCAAAAGTGAAGGCATCTACAAAGGAAAAGAGCTTTCTTGTGCCGTCTTACCCGTTGGGGTCTTTGCTGCTGGAGCTGCTCTGACTCTTATGTCTTTGATTTCAACCATTCTTTACTACTTGGCTCATTCTAAAGCTGACACTGGTGGATGGGAGAAGCATCAGAACGATGGCATTGGCATGACATCTCCTCCTCATGATGCTCCAAAGCAACAGAACACGGACAAGGTATAAAACCAAGTTCTGTTTGGTCTCTTATGATAGCTATGCTTCTAAAAGAAATGGGTATAAACACTATAAAATGTTGTTTGTTATAATTGTTCATATAAACTGGTGTTATCAGATGTAATGTCGGCTTATGTGTGTCATCATCAATCTATGAGAAAATGAGAAAATCTGGATTGTTAGCTTAGCTACCCACTTGACCTCAAATAAGGGTGTTAACAATTATGGCTCATAACAGGTTGGGCCTGATTCGCTAGGCCCATTTTAGGCCCAATGATAACATTCCCAGCCTCAACTTGGAATATACTTGCATGAGAAAGGGTTTACAGAAAGTTACGATCAAAATGTTGATAACTTTTTGGAATACATTTTTGAGCACTAGTACAAGTAATGAACGATTCTCCATAAGATGTGAAAATAATTTATTTATACAACAATAGTTTTGCAACATGCTAAAGCCATTCCTTTCCCTTTTCTCAAATCACTTTCTTCTTCATGAATCTAAGAACAAAACCTTTCTTATCCTCAGAGCTATGAACTATAAATGTAAACATTTGAATCATAGAGTTTAGCTAACAAAAAGGCTACAGTTGCAATCATAAAACCATAAAGAAAACAAATCATGGCGATATATGGATCCGATATAGATGAACATAGAGCTTCTTCATCAAGAAGACGAAGATCTCTCTACCACAATCTAGGAGGAGGACGCTGTAACGTTTATATTGTTTTTTTCTCTATTTACATTAACTTTTTGTTCTTGAATATATTCCAATATGAAGGATTTGCTCTACAAATCTTGTAGTTGCTGATGTAATATTCTGGAAGAACAAGAAAGAATCAGGAACAATCTTGGCGGTTTTCACATTGATATGGTTCTTATTCGAAGTGGTTGAATATCCTTTCATCACTTTTCTCTGCCAGATACTCTTGATCTTCATTTTCATCTTCCTCATTTGGTCTTACATTGGCTCTTCACAACTAATCCAGCGGTAAAAAACACTCATACTTAGATTCTTGTTTATGAAACCAAGCTCTTGAAGAACAAGCCATTTCTTGCAGGAAACCACCGAGTATTAATGATCTAAGGATATCGGAATCAACATGGAGATTCTTGTTCAACAAGATCAATTGGTTCATCATCAAATTGTATGATATCTCAAGTGGCAAAGACTTCAGACTCCTATTTTTGGTAAAAATTAATATATAGATTCTAAATTTAATCATTGTTTTCACCCCAAGACTGTTTGGATATTAAAACTTGTCTCAATATTGCGTTTCAGGCCGTTGTGTCCCTATGGATATTATCAGTGGTGGGAAACTATTTCAGCTCTCTAACTCTGTTATACATCGGTGAGTCTTTATGATTTTATCTAGGCAAACTTTGCTATATACAAGGGTCAAAATTTGCAAATTTTTTGTTAGTATATAATTAAAATATTTAATTTTTGTGTGTGTGGGGTATTTTGGTGAAGTGTTTGTGGGTCTGGAGACGATACCGATGTTGTATGAGCAATACGAAGAAGAGCTGAATTATGCAGCAATTAAAAGCGGGAGGGACATGAAGAAGCTCTTTAACAACTTCAACTCTAAAGTCATTAACAAGATCCCTAAATCTAATGCTAAAACTAGGAGGCATATGTAACTTTATGTATATAAATCTTCTAAATCTGCACGTGTTAATTACATATTAAAGCTTATAATAAGTCTTTGTTCATGTAATCATGATTCATGAATGCTCATCAGGAATTCAGGATTCAGTGGGTATACCGTATACTTTAATATATTTTCATTGTTCTAGTAGATGACCCAAAACAAAGTTTTAATGCAATAAGAAAAATATTCAATAGGTATGTTTATTTACGTTGGATTAGGATAATCTTTTCTAAAAGTTTATTACTGTCTATCCAAAAAAAAAAATTGTATATGGCTTAAACATATTGTTATTTTCTTGTTAAATGAATTAAAAAAAAAAACTAAGTAAAACAGGAGCTAACAAATGATTCAGGCTTTTCCCTAGATTTACACCAAAACAGGAGTCTTTCTTTCGTATAAAACTTACTATAATGTATTTAGTTTCACTATTGGATTATATACAGCTCCAAATTTAAGCAAATCGAGAGTAATTTGAGACCTCACCCAAGATTCTAATTTGGGTCAAGAAGCTAGACTAGTGGATATATATATCCCTTAATATTAATTTTCTGCATTTTATTTTTTTTATTTCCTCCAAGTTTGTGTACTCAATTTGATATCTTATTCTGTTGTGAATGGGTCAAGCATCAACTCTACAGAAATATCATAATCTTACAAAAAAATTATGTAAAGAACACGAAAAACAACAATTTTGTTTGCTTGTACATATTCGGAAATTTAATTGATGTTCATATATATCTCTGATTTTCCGTAAGAAACGCAAATACCTCGTTGGCATCTTTATGGTCACTAGAAATTCAACCAGCTCTTCAATTTTTTAGTAATACTGACAAATCACTCGTCGATGCTTATCTATTTGCCTTGTCTTGATACGGAAATATTTTAACTAGATATGTTTTGTAGAATTAAAAATGTTTTACACTTTATCCATGCCCTTTTTTTCCTGAAAAATCAACCCTACTGTGACAATTCTTCTTCTTGTAAAATTTATTGTCCATCCATACACTAAAATTATTATATAATTTCTGAATATGCTCTTACTCATGTCATTATTATATAATTTTTTGTTAGTTTTGTTATACTTTACCGCCATTTCACAAATACACTGAAACAAATGCGTTTAGATGATAACAATAAGAATTTTCTAATTTGTTTTTGTTTTAAGAGCTGACTTTCCATGGTGAGATATGACTAATGGCCGCACACACAAATTGGTAAAGCTTGTATTGACCCTAGAGTTAAACCAAAGGGCACAGAGTAAAGAAAAGAGTCGTCGCATCTTTAGTGACTTCTGACTCGAAAATTCAAAACCACACATTTGAAAGATGCTAATTACACACACTCTCTCTATCTCTTTATCAACTAGCTAGTCTCAACATTTGTATGAGCGACGCAAAAACTAAAATTTCTTCGATGGTGAGAGGAGGACTTGCGGTTGAGGCGTCAGGTAACGGCGGAGGATCTGAAGGCACCGTTATTTTACTCTACATTTGGGCAGCTCTTGTGGCTCTCTCCGTCATAGTCGCCGTGACTTTCTCCTGTAGCGACGGAGCTTCTAAATCTCATACTAACGACGTCCATGCCTCGGCGTGCGCCGCCGGCTGCGGTGGAGGTTGTGGTGGTTAAAACGGTTGGCAGTTTTTTTTTTCTTTTAGTCAACAACAATGACACTCGATAGAAACTCATTAAATGGGTATGTTTAATGTGGTAGCTTTGTTCAGATTAAAAGAATTTTAATACAAATCATATTAGTTTCTTGCTCCAATAAGAAACTAAAGCGTGTATTGATTATGTTAAACTTGTAACAAAATTTAATTATCCTGCTTCTTGAATCTAATAGTTTACTGATGTAATTTACTCCTAGAAATTCAATGTAGAAAAATAGAAAACGTGATTGTGTAATATTTTTTTTTTTTTTTTTTTTGGTAAAAGATTGTGTAATATCTCTGTTTTATTTATTAAATTTGCATGCTTGAGCAAAACAGAACAATATAAAGGAAGTAAGTGTTGTCACAGATTAAGGTATCAATTAAACTTCAAAGCATATATCAATCCGGTTTAAAGTGCACGAAACTTAATATAGGTTTTGTGATCGGGTAGTTTTAAAAAGTAGATACTCTGTTTTAACTAAATACTAGATTTTGGATCCGCGCACTTGCGCGGATTTCTTTTTATAAAATATTTTTATGCCACATCAAAAATAGGTTTATATTAAACTTTTATTCAAAAAAAAAATCAGCTTATATTATTAAATCCAAAATTATGGCCTAAAAAGAAATTTTTTATTAGATTATATACACTATTTTTACGTTATGATTTTATGTTCTTAAAATTATTTAGGTTTGATTTTCTAAAAAAAAAAAATATTTTGATTAGCGGATTTCCAGTCAAATTTTGTAACAAATATTTTTAAAGTATTATGTTTTACAATGCAAGAGAGATTTTACTTGTTTGTAATTAAAGTTTTAATATTTACTTAGGTTTTGTTTGTTTTTGCATCCAAATACTTATTTGGATGTAAATGTTCAAATATTATTTTATTAAATATCTGAATACGAAATCAATAATATCTCAAAATTTGAATATTTAAAATGCTAAAAAAATAGAGTTTGGATGCAGCATTTGAATCTCAAAAATTAAAAGACCAAAATACATTTTTAATTTAAACCATAAAATCAAGTTTTTTCGTTGTCAAAACTATAAAATCAGACTTTTCGATCGAAATAAAAGGCCGCATTTTCCCTCAAAATACTAAAATCACGTTGTTGTATCAAAATCGGGAATTCCTATAGAAACTGTAAAAATAGCATTTTCCATCAAACAGTATTTTTTGCCAAAACTGTAAACCCACATTTTTTAACAAAGTCAAAAAATTAGTAAAATCATGTTGTTGTAGCAAAATCAGGAATTCCCGTAGAAACTGTAAAAATAGCATTTTCCATCAAACCGTATTTTCTTTCCAAAATTGTAAACCCACATTTTTTAACAAAGCCAAAATTTATGTTTTCCCCAACACCATAAAACCGTATTATATGGCCAAATTTCTAAAATTACGTGTTTTTGTCAAACCTGCAAAATTACGTTTCTCATCAAACACACAAACCTGCATTTTCAATAAAATCGATAAAACCACATTTTCCATCAATACCTATAAACCCCGCCAAAACATGTAAACCTCGTAAAATCTGCAAAATTACGTTTCTGGCCAAATCCACAAACCCATATTTTCCATAAATTTGTAAAATCCTTAAAATCATGTTTTAGGATCAAATTTCTAAACTCATGTGTTTCTGCCAAACCTGCAAAATCGAGTTTCCAAACCCACAAACCCGCATTTTTCGTATGACTATATTTTCCTGTTAAAACTCATAAAATCCACAAAATTGCGTTATTCGCATTCCGTAAATCCGTGTTTTCCCGTAAACCCCATAAAATCTGCAAAACTAAATTTCTAAAATCATGTGTTTCTGCTAAATCTACATAAACACATTTCTTATTAAACCGGTATTTTTTGTAAAAGTATATTTTTTGCTAAAACTTATAAAACCCGCTAAAACTTGTAAAATCCGTAAAATCTATAAATTTGTGTTTGTCAAATCTGCAAACCCATAATTTCCGGCAAAAAAATCATTAACAAACCATGAAAAAATTATTTACATAATTTGTTTTTCATAGTATGCATATATGTAACCAAAAAATAATAATTACATATTCATTATTGACTATAAATTGTCACATTTAATAAATATCATATTAGCTTTTAAACATTTTAAAGTAGTGCTTTTTTCAATTATATAGTGAAGAAATTGATTATAATATAATTTATATTTAATTTATAATATAATATATATAATTATATGAATTATTAATGCCATATATGTTTGTGGTAATTATGTTAAGATATTATGAAAGATTTTATAATAATTTCGAAATTAAATTAATTTGAATTTTATTAAATATCATATATAATTTATTGGTATTATCTGTTAATAAACTAATATAATTTAATTTAATTTAATATATTTTTAGTGATTTTAATGATATGATTAAATTACCTTTAATAAATTAATAAAATTGTCTAGTAAATGTAATGACATATTTATAAATATCATGGTAGCTTTTGAACATTTATTAAGAATGATTCTCTTTTAATAGTTTAGATTTTGTATGCAAGTTTCACTAAGAAAATGTTCCCAAAAAAAAAAAGTTTCATTAAGAAACAAGATAGAAATAATTTGATAATACATGATTTTTTTAAGAAATTGACATTACATTGTAACCGACTAAACATAACATGAAAGTTAACAAACTCATCCATTTCAAAATTTCATATATCTATGTATACAATTAATTATACAAGAACAGTCTCTACAAGAAAAAGAAACGAGTCAAAAACCAAAGGGTCTTAAAAAGCTAAAGCTTATTATGTTTTATCAGGCCCCGCACTGTCATGTACCTGTGATGTAAACTGTTGGCAGAAATCATAATCTGTTGAATATGATAAGGTTAAACTGAAGTAGGAAATGAACCTGATGAAATTGTGGTTTAAAGGACATGTTTTGTTGAGGCATCATTGGGATTCCTGGCGCATAATAGCCCCAAGGAGTAGTGTATGGAGGAGCCATACATGGTGCTTGCGCTCCATAAAATGGTGCCATGTAACCAGCAGGCTGTGTGTATGTCTTAGCCATAATCTGGACCACGGACATAACACATAAGACTTCATTACTTCATATTGTAAATTGATATGCTGTGTCAATAATTCGGAAAATTAATGTACATGTGTGAATTGTAGACGAGAACAAAAAAAAGAAGATCGCTTACATCTCTCTGATGCTTTAAGCTTTTGATGTATTCAACGATGTTTTCAAGCTTCGTTGCAAGGTCAGTCTGTACATACATAGACACACAATGAAGAAGCGTTAGAAACTTATTATTATTCAACTCTATTATACAGTATTTATGAAGTAAATTATGAAGTATTAACCTTTGTGCAATTAGGCGTCATCCCCTGCAATATATCTACCTTTTCTCTAATAACCTGTCGTCTTTTCTGCAGAGTTTAGAAAACATATCAAGAAAATAAACATAAATGAGCTTGGGAAGCACGCAAGAGAAGAAGAAAAGAACCCTAACCTTCTCCATCACCACACGGTACTCCATGGAACGTTGTCGTTTACCCGTAACAGTACTCTTGTTGCTATGATCCCTTGTGTCTCTCTGAGACTCAGAAAAGTCAAGCGTTGAGGAACTCGAGTTCGGGCCGAATATCTCTTGCAAAGGGTTTAATTCATTATGATCTTCTGAACAAATAGTAGAAATCATCTCTGACAATGAACCTAATTCTTCACGATCAGTACCCTCCTCGCGCTTGTTTACCTCCATTACTTTGAGTTTTTGAGAGACTGAAGAGGAAACTCGTGGAGCCAAAAGCTATTAATAGGGGAAATCTAATTAAGAAGCTGCTTTTGAAAGTTGCATCACACTGAGCGGGAAAAAAAAACAGATGATTTTACTTCGTCCATGGTTTCCCTAACATAGACTATTCACGTGAAACTGAAACCACAAATTATTTTACTCTTCTCTTTATTATATTGGTATATGTTTTTGTGTTCAATATTTTTACACATACAGAAGAAAACATATTTTTATTGTCGCTTTATGTTGTCACTCTTTCTTGGAATTCTAAGCACCAATTTGAAAACGGCAGAGAAACAAATAGTTATCCTTGTTCATAAACGGCGGTTCTTATTTTTTATTGTTTTTATTTTTATTTTTTCCTTTACTATGTTGTTGCAACAGATTGCATTTATGCAATATTATAATATTTTGTGGAGTTTTAGGCCGTTAACGGGTAGTCGTTTTGGGAAAGGATAAAGATGTTAACTTTCTATAAATAAACGAGAAGCTCAAAAGTGTAGATGGTTTCGTCTTCGATATTAAAAGTTGGTACGGCGTAGATCATCATCTCTAAATTAATTACAACATCCAAACTAAAAAAGTCATCCTAATTTTACATTTTTTTGTTTTAATTTTTTGGGGATTAATACAATCTTTTTTGCAACTTTGATAATATTTGTCCCTTATTGCCGCTAACTTTGGTCTATTCCGGATGAACTTGCAGATTAATGTTACGTTTCAAGTTCCGACATTTCTCCAGTTTCGGCCGTTTGCATCTGCTAGATAGCCAAAACATGATCACGTCAGATTATATTTCCGCCTTCTTTGATTATTAATATTTTTCATATTATAATCGAACGGACAAATAAATTAATATGCGAGTGACGTAACTGTTCAAATTATTGGCTGTGTGTGATTCAAGAATTCTATAATACTATGTACTAGGTAATAACGCATCTTGTGCAGAGTAAAATAATAATTATTTATTTAATATAGTATAATTTTAAAATCATATAACAAAATATAATTTATTTTATATGAGTTGTTTATAACATTATGCTGTAATATTGACAAAATATTTTTTTTTGTTTAATTTATGAAATATAGGGTAATTTAATTCTAATGTAAATTAGTTTAAAAATTAAATATTTATGCGCAATCTGGATAGAAATATGAAATCGCTCTTTATATTTTCTATAACCTATGATTAATAACATGATCTTAAAATTCAAAAAAAAATAAAGGGAATATATTTTGATTAAATTATTAAGTATCTAATGCATTATGATAATAAGTAAAAATTTTATTACTTCTTCTATTTCATAATTTTTTTTAAGGTTTTATTTTGTTTCACAATATATTTGTTTTCATTTTTTTTACTACTTCCTATGAATACTATGTGACCGATTATATTTTTCAGTTTTTTCATTATTAGTTGAATTATATTTAATTTATATACTAAATGATTACTTTTTAAAAAGAAAAGTTGCTTTTTAATCTTTGTGCTTTGATGCAAAACAATTTATATTTTGAAATAGAGAGTATTAAAATTATAAAAATAAAATTTGATTATAAGATTTTATAATCGATTTTAGTATTTTTTTTACAAATGTAAATGCATATTTAGATTAATCCGCAAAAACTATAGTCATAAGAATATTAACTTTTAAGAAAAGAAAATTAATGTGAAATTTATTTTAAATACTAAATATACATAAGGATTATATAAAAATAGATTATATTTTTTATTATTTTAATATATTATCTAAAATTGTATATAAATGAGTCAATATTTATACATTCTTAACTTTTTGATTCAATAAAAATATTTTTAATATCAAAAAGTTTAATAAAATTATTATATAATATCTTTACAAAAATATTTTAATTTTTTATCAAGTTATTTTGTTGTATAAATTAAAAATTTATGATATTTAACTTTTTAATCAAATAAAATATTTATAATATTATATTCTATTAACATATTCAACTACTTTTTTATAGTTGAACTTTTTATTAATATTTCATACTTATTATAAAGTTTAAATATTTATATTATTTGGTTAATTTATATGGTTCTAAAATTATATGAAACCAAAAAGAATTATAATAATAATATCTATTGAATTAAGCTTTCTGTTTTTTTTATCATCTATGTATTTTTTATATTAATTTATGAATCATTTATCTGCATATCCTTATTTTCAATTTTAGTTTTTCAAAACATACTTTTATTTATTAATCATTTGAGTAATTTATATTTTTTTATGAAATTTGAATTATAACACTATATATATATTATTTTATTATATGAATGATGTGATTATTTATTTTTCTACAAAAATAAAAGATAAAATATAATATTTAAAGAAAGAATAATATGATATTTTTTTGGTAAAAAATAAAAAAAAAAATATCTTGATGAATCATCATCAATATAATTAATATAAACTAATGTATAACCAAATTAATGTAAGTGATATAACATATAATTAATCTAATAACATAAGTCTATTTTTATAATTTTGCTGAAAATGATTCTGATGATGATACATCAACAAAATGACACCATTGTAATATTTTATAAAATTAAAATTATTCTTTAAAAATGCTTCTCTTTTTAATATATAGGAGATTTACGTTAGCTACATTAAGTAAAACGAGTTTGGTCTGAAGATAGGGAAAAAAACACGACTTTAGTGTAGTTAAAACAAAGGATATATGTCCCATTTTTTCACCATCCGTAGAAGCATTTTTCAAGTCTTAATACGCTAGTCACTTTAATCTATGATATATAGTTACGTGTCTGAGCGATGAGGGATATGTCACAATGTGGTGGTGCTGCAATATCCACACATAACATATATTATAAATTATTCTTCATATATAATTTATAGTCATGTTATGTGTGGATATTGCAGCACCACCACATTGTGTGACATATATATCCTTCACCGCTCAGCTCGTGTCTACTTTGTACCTTCTGCAATCTGAAATGTCGTTTCTACTGCATGGTGGATCAATCTAATGGTCCAGAGTCGATGTAAATGACTGCATAAATTTTAGTCGGTATACATAAAATTAAAAATATGAAAAGAAAATTCTTGGAAATTTTAAAATATGTAGACTAATCATCTAATCGTAATCTAAGTTTAGAAAAGTATATATATTTTTTTTTGGAAAAGAAGTTTAGAAAAATATTTAACATCTAAGGAAATCTATTTACAGTGTTTGGTGGGAAGTGCTAGATAGAAATATATGCACAGTTCGTTCTTCAAAGTGGAGCGTTTAACTTGTCAAAATACCCTTTTAGATTTTTTCTTTTTTCTTATCTTACATCTTTGGTAAAAACATATGCAAAGACTTAAAAAAAGAGGGATAACAACAATATAAACAAGCCGATCTATCAACCACGCGCAAGGGCAAGACGATGTTTCTAGTGAAGACAAAAATTGATCGGATTAACACCAAGCAAAAACCATATTTCTGATGATATGATTTCTAGAAAATACTTCTGTTTACACAAGTATATATCCGTCGAGTTGATACATATCCGTCGAGTTACGTGTGACTTCAACACTCATGAAGATAATTTAAGCCACCAAAATCTTTCATATGTGCTGATATATATATAGAAGATATTAAACTCTGACCATCATTACCTGAAATGATGAGACAGTCGTCGATGTAAAGGATACATTTATTAAATGGTGCATCGCAGGCGTTGATGAATTTGTTTGTGTTCTACTTTAAAGTATACTAATATTTAGCTGAAATTTTTTATAAAATATTTACACTTACGTGATTAATTAGAACCAATATAATACCAAAAGACAATTAATATGGTAACAGTTTAATTCCAATACGCCTTATCATTCAATTTAATATCTTTTATATGTGTTGTACAGAATTCAATCTATATGAAATCGATAACTACCTTTTTCTTTACAAGTTTTAAACTAGAAATAGAAATTAAAGTCTTGAAATTTTGTATAATCAAAATATTAAATTATGAAATACAAGATAGGCTATTGGATGTGTATTTAAGCATTAAATTTAAAGTATTAAAATGCTCTATAATATTAATAAAATATCAAATTTAGAGTATTGAAATTCTCTTTCCTTAAAAAGTATTGAAATTTCTATATTATATTGTAGTTTATAGTATATAATTAATATGTATATCCATTATAATTCATTTCATAAAGCATATAATATTTTAAGACATGATCCAGGTTTTTTTTTAAAACATAATATACAGGTTTCTTAGTGATTCGTGTGAATAAAATATGATGTTGAGCACTTAGAAATGAAAAATAACTTTGCACTTAAACAACCAACATATAAATATATTTGGAAAAAGAGTTTACGATGAACAATATTGTATATAACGTTACAACATGAATCCTGAATAATAAACAAAAAAAAAGAGCCACAGACTTAAAAACTTGGGATAATAGTTTTAAAACACTAAATAATAAACATATATAGCATCAAACAAACTTGAGAGAACCAGTCAAACATACTTAAACACCACCGACTCTTAATTGATTACATAGATTTGGACGATTCCGGCTGATTGGTGATTCCATGCATACTATTCATTTTCGGCTGCGGCTGATTGTTGAATTCCTGCAAAGTATTCATTTAAATAAATAAATAAATAAAACCGCAGAATTTACAAGAATATAAAACATGAAGAAGAAAACTAATCAAAACCTTGATTGTAACGGGTACAATTTGCTAATTGTGACCGCTAATTTCTCCTTGGATAAAACCACTAAACGGTGGCGGCGGCATCATAAAGTTGGGATGCATATAATATGGGAACCATGGTACCGGAAAATCCATGTTTAGCCCAAGTGGTAACATGGGACCCGTACTCTGCATCGTGACATTTTGTAGTTTGGTTATTGGAAAGTTTTGTCATTTGTGTCGGCCCATGCAACGTGTAAAACATGGTATTCACGTATATACAGTTTTTATATAACAAAACTAAACCAAACCTACGCAATCGAGAATGATCCGTAACCAACCCAAATTGAAGTTTAGTAAAAATTATAAATGCTTTTTGATGCGTGAAACAAAAAAAAAAAAAAATTAAAGCGAAATTGAAATAAGACAGAAACAAAAACTTTTCATTGTAACAAAAAATCATTACATGTTAAATTTGATTATTTTTTACTAATATTTGTATACTGAAAAAATCGGTTTAAACTGTAGGTGTATTGTTTCATAACAAAGTAATGATTGAGATTACTTACTTCTACATAAAGCTTCATCGAACGTATGCTATCGACGATACATTCAAGTGTCGTGGCTATGTCTCCCTGCAGGCTCATATAAATAACCAGTTAAAAAGAATTTGAGAAAGATACATGTTAATTTGCTGTGTTTCAGAAAGAAGACACAATATTTTACATTTACAATTAAAAATAATATTGAATAATGAATATTTTAAACACGAATAAAAAATTAAAAAAATTAGTAGCAATTTTATATGTGAGCAATCTATTCTAACTAATAAACTCAAATGCAAATATTTGTACTTGAAGAGACAAACCTTTTTGCAATTAGGTATCAACTGCGCCAAATTCTCAATTTTTGTTTTTATATCGGTGCGTCTTCTCTGCATTGTGAAACATGAAATTTTAGACAGAGTGTTTTCTTGAGAAACACATCAAACAACAAACACAAGCAAATGATCTTATCACCTTTTCGACTATATTACGAGCTTCATTACGTTGTCTCTTACTAAGATTCTTCATTTCTTCTTTCTCACCTTCTTCCTTTGCCTATACATTTATTAAGATAAAGTTTTTATATAGACGTAACTCACATAAACATATGTTGTGTATCCAAGAAATCGAACTTTTGTGTATCCAAGAAATCGAACTTACCTTCTCTGTCTGTTTTCCAGTAAATCTCATCCTATCCTCATTAATGTTCTTGTCTCCAAGTTCGTCTACATCTTTACCCGGTCTAGGCTTATCTCCACCTCCAAGAGCATTTGAAGGCTCAGGCGAAATATCTATAGCCATTGATGTAGACATCACCAGTTTCGGGCTATTGAGGTCATCTTTAGGGTCGGAATCAGTAAGGAACTGGAGAAGTGTGGACCAAAACTCATGACTTTCTTGATCGTTGCCCATATTACTAAAGAGTCATGAAGAGGTTGTGTGAGTAAGGAAGAGGTATTTATAGGAGGAGGTGTTGGAGAGGTGCTTTAAAAAGGGAACAAGAGCGGGAAAATACTGTTTTTAACCCAATGTATATTTTTGTCGGAACTTGATCATGTACTATTTGATGTACAATTCTGTTGTACTCTCTATTTTGCCGCTCAAGGATATTATTTATCTATCTAATTTTGCAATTCCAGTGTTTTACAATCATTTACTATGTAAATTAATTAGTACAAAATAAGCGGCCATGAGTACGATAGTACAACTACTATAGAGATTACTTTGGGTATATATAAGGAGTACAGTTTGAAATGAATAGTTTCCACGGAAATACCTTGCCAAATTCGATTGCTCGAGATTATTTTGGGTATATATAAGGAGTACAGTTTACAATGAATAGTTTCCACTGGAATACCTTGGCAAATTCGATTGCTCGAGCAATGTTATCTTATCTATGCGAGTTTCAAGTAACCATCAGTTTTATTTGTTCATGTGTTAAAATTCATTTCTTGTAATGTAGTTTTTTGGAGTTAATGTTCGTTATAAAAAGGAAATCATATTATACTGGTAAACTAAAAAAAAAATCAAAAACTGTATAAGATTGAAATTTTCAAATTGCTTCACTGACTCAGATCTATAAAAGAGTAACTCATTTTATAGATATAAATATTAAAGTACAAATTTAATTAATGACGAGTACTCTAAATAAAATTTGTAATAGACAAATCAAACAAGTAGATGTGTTGTCAAGTGAAAACTTTAAAATAAGAAAACTATACATATTGAGAAATATGTTGATAGTAAAAAACAAAATATGTAAAAGAAATTAGGAGATTTGTTTTTGTCTTCATTTCAATTAAAATATTACAATACAAATATAAAATTATCATTTTAAAATATATAAAAGGAATATTCCAACTATATTTCTTACTTCTGCAAATGTAACCAAATGCTAAGAAGTAGGAACTAATAAAATAATAAATAGGCTGACGTTTGGTATTGAACAATACATATGAAAATTGATATTTAAATATTTACATATTTACATAGTTTGTTTATGAATTCAACTAAAAACAATATTTAAACTAATTAGATATGGTATAAAAAATATTACAGGAAAAAAATGACAATACTTTTGAAAAATATTAGATTTAAAATAGGGATAAATATTTAATTTAAATTTTAAATTAAATATGATCTTTTTATTTTTATAGAATTTTATACACTCACATGGTAGGAATCCAATTTTTTTTTTAAAAAAAAACTAAACTTTCAAAATAAATAATATTATTTTTCTGTTACATATTAATTTAAAAAATCTAATGAGTAGATGTGTGTTTCAAGTGAAAACATATTTTATTAGTTACTATTAATTAGCATTAGTTATATTTACTAATGCTAATAACTCGATTAATATAATATTTGGATCATGCTCTATATTGTTTTACTGAATTGCCGGTACAATATGAATGTTTTCAACATTAAAATAATTTAGAAAAACAAAATTCCGAGATGTTATATATTTGTAAAAGAAATACTATTTCGATATAGGATCAATATTAGGAAACAATATTGCGCAATCAACACAACAATAACATTAAAATCTCTTCATGGCTTGACATCTCAGCTTTTTGAAGCTTTATAAACATGACACATCAGCAAAAATAATCATCAATCAAAACATTTTATTAATACATCTCATCTACTTATTTTAATTTTTAAACTTAAATCCATTAAAAATCCAAATATTTTTTCTATTAATTTTTGTTTTATTTTTTACCAAACCCAAGCCCAAATAATTAATAACAGCAAATAAAAAATTATTATTTTATTTTTTTGCCAAATTCAAACCCAAATAATAAATAAAAACAAATAAAAAACATAAATCAATGTTTTCTTTTTTTTACCAAAATCAAATCCAAATAATAAATAATAAATAAATAATAAAAAAATTTCTAGCTATCTATTTGTTTGATATTGACGTATATGATTGAAAAAGTGTAGGTTCAGTATCAACTATGCTTCCATGACAACAACGCAAAAACCCTAAAGTTATAAGAAGTTCACACATCAGCAAAAATTTGAACCGATAAAAACATAATAATTTCTTAATTTTCGCGGGAAAACACAATTTCACAAGAGATAATGCAATTTTTGGTTTTCGCAGAAAATTGTAGTTTATTTGTTTTTGTAGAAAAGCGTGAGTCTGGTCTTAACGAGAAAAATGATTTTCTTTTGTTTTGGCAGGAATAGACGATTTTTCAGTTTTCGCAGGAAAAATAATTTTTTTTTTATTTTGGCGGAAAAATACAATTCTTTTTGGTTTGTGCAGGAAGATGAATTTTTTTTGTTTTTGTGAAAAAACATAATTTCTCGGCTTTGGTGGAAAAACACAGGTTCTTGTGGGAAAATGAAATTTTAGGTTTTAGGTTTGACGAGAAAATGAATTTTTTGGTTTTTGGCGGGAATATGCGATTTCTCTGTTTAATGGGAAAATGAAGTTTTTTTGTTTTGACGGAAAATGCGATTTCTCAATTTTTGTAAAAAGATAAAAATTTTCTATGCTAAATTTCCAAGTTAAAGTATGTTTACAGTAACCAAAATTTAGTTATTTAACTTTAACTAAAACGATATTTTAAGAGTTTAAACATAATTTTCTATTTAGTTCTAAAGCAATAGCAATAGTTTTGATATAAATGTTATTGATTATAATTTGGTAGTTTTAGAAAACATATGTTTATAATAAAATATTTGATAAATAAATAAATTTTATAATTTAAAATAATCATATTAATTAATAAATCTTTTATTTAAATAACATTTTGCTTTATATAATTACAAAGGGGAATCAAGTGGTAATTTATTAGAGAAAATAGATTACCTTTACCATTAGCATGAAGGTAATAAAAATGTATTACTTCATTCTTATATATTTTATTCTTATATATACATTTATAATCACTTATTTTGATCCACCATATGTAGGAATTTGTTATCTTTATTCTTTATTTCAGTTACATTTAAAGTTTTAAATAATAAAGATAACAAATCATTTGAAGAGAGTGTGGCTGCATGGGAAGTTTCTTAATATATACTAGCTCCTTATAAAATTAATCATATTTGTTGAAATTAATAATGTTAATAGATCAAAAAAAAAGCTGTTGTTGTTGACAAAAAAAAGAAAAATATAAAAAAATATGTTTTTTTGAAAAATAATAATTTTTAATATAGCTCCCGACTATCCATTGTTTTTATTTGATTAAACAATTGTTGTTTCTTGATTAGTTTTCTTACCGTTCATCAAACATTTACTTATATTATGGTTTAAAATATATATATTTCGAAACGATAGTTGAAACCCATGGAGTAAATATTTTCTACGTACTTGGTAGATATTTATGATGAAAGTCTTTTTTTTTTTATCAATAATGATAAAATTGTATAGAGACAAATTCGTGAATAGCAACTGAGTTTCGCCTGATGAAACCATAAACCTGAAATGTTTCAAGTTCCAATATTTATTTATATAATTATTTATTTCTTATGATTATCCGAACATCTAAAGACGCTGACGTAGTTATCAAAAAAAAAAAAATACGCTGACGCATGTGTTTTATGTTTAAGAATCATAGAATCTACTCTATTGGTTTCGACATAAATGACAAAAATTATGTTCAATGAAGGTGTCAGTGTTCGACATCTAAGGTTTTAAGGTTAAACCATGGAAACATTACGTGTCTTTTATTTTCTTCATTTAATTTCTTACGGTTGTAGTTTGTTTTCATAAATTATAAGCTTCTAATCCGTAATATTTTTTGGAGTCTAGGAAACGAACAGGATATAAGATTACGGACTTGCGAACCTCATGACTCAGCGCTCCACTAGCCATAAGAATTTTAAATAAATTTTACTTTAGATATATATTATACTACGTATGTACAAACATAAATAATTTTTAAAATATAATTACATAAATATAATATTTAAATCGTTATAAATATTTTAATTTTTATAACATATAAAAATTAGGTAAAACAATTGAATTATAGGATTTAATAGCAAAATATGGTATAGTTTTAACTAAACATTTATTATCCCAAAAGACTTACTTTATTATGTTAAATGATCAAACAGATCAAATCCGTGGATAGCTGGTTGAGCAAGTTACCTGCTGCGGATTTGTAAGTCAAACTTACAGACCTGCAAATTTCATCATCTTCTTTGTTTTCAATTAATCTTCCTCGATTTATACAGTAATTTAGCCATCAAACATTATTTCTTCAACGATTTTGCCATTGTTGGTCTAAATCTACTCATATTTCCTATTGATTTTTTCTCAAGATGGCGATCGATCAGAAATTAGAGTGTATCGACATCAGACATTTGACTCCAACTTAGCTTCGATTACTGGTCAGATACATATAAAAATTTTGAATACAAGTAAATAACTTTCAATTTGCGCTTTCTTCCTTCAATTTTTAGTATCGATTTTTCTGAATTACTAAAAGAGTCATCTTCTTATTTCAGAAGTAAGCTTCTTCATGTTTGATATGCTCAAATTAACCCTCAGAGCTACTCTCTCAAATTAAGAGATCATTGTAGTACTTAGGGATCGAATCCACAAGGACTTAAGACTATTACTCAACAGATTTTAGATTCAAATGAAGCTAAGCAGTCAATAATAAATAAAACTAAATAGTAGAACGAAAGTAACAAGATCGAGAGCGGATTATGAGTTCTTAAAATCAATAGAGACAAGGTGCTAGGTAATGGAAAATTTGCAGGTTGACATAATGCAGACTACGGACTGAAAGGAATATTTATTAAAACCGTTCTAGAACTCAAAAACACTAATGTAAAACCAATCGACTTCCGTCGCAGAGATTAACTATGATCAGATTCCAAAATTCCAAATTCATTTGCAAATTCTAACAACCTAAACAAGCATTATAGTTCAGGTTCGATATGTTCACAAAATCACTAATCCAAATTCCTTTGCAATCAGTTATTTTGCTCATCTAAGATAGTTCTGGTGATTAACAATGTTTTCACATCTATTAAAAAACCTAAGATCTGCTTTCTAGGTGATCAATCTTAAAACCAGTATTAAAGCAATCTAGATGAAGAACAAAATGATTTATCCTTCCAGTTTTGTAGTTCTAACAATTCATTATCAACCTTTGAATAACCCAAAACCTAACTAGCAGATTACTCAGACATAGCAAGTGAAACACAAATCATGGCTGAATAAAACTGCATTAAGAAATAGAGTAAAAGATGAAGAGGTTCAAAATTCTTCTCTAAAGAGTATGGATTTGTCTCCCCAAAAGCTCTCAATCTAATCTCTCTTTTAGTCTCAATGAAAACAAGATAATCGCCTCACAATGGCTTAGAAAACCTAAATACAAGTCTAAACACGAACTGAGGTAAAAGTGCAAATAGTGGGAAACTTCTAGGCCAAGTTGCAAATTCTTCCAATGAGTTTTTACACTCTCTTCGCGACCACGACCGGTGTCGATCGACACCAAGTGGTGGGTGTCAATCGACACCTTGCTTCATAATGTTCTCCGACTTGGTCTTTTCAGCATCAGCTTCAACATAGTTCTAAAAGGCTCCAAAATCCACAGTTATGCTCCAAACGTACCTGGACCTACAAAGACTCTATAAGACTCGAAAAATACCAAAAATACTCTATAAACAAGACTTATATCATGGTCAAAAACTAGAAAAACCATGATATATCAATGTTCTTCTGTTATTGTGATCTGATGCTATGAGATGTTCTTGATTGTAATCGATAAGAGGTAGTAAATTATTTAGGATTAGAATATAAAGTTGGGATGATAATGTATGTTCGTCAAAAATTAATTAACAACACAAGTCTCGTGAATGATTCACATGTATTAGACGAAATCATTAGACATAAGAGGCATGAAACAAGCTGAAACTTTGAAAATCTAAGAACATACATTGTTTTAAAAGACAATCTGAAACCTCTTTATCTAAATTACTAAGAGAGTGATCGATGATATGTACAGGGATGTTGTACTTTTTCCTGAAGTCGCTAAGCTTCTTCCTAAAAAATCGTTTATTCTTCTGTTATTGTGATCTGATTCTATAAGATGTTCTTGATTGTACCTTTGGAGAATCACTAAGAGATAGTTTTGGCTTAAGATTAGAATATGAAATTTCAATGATCATCATATTGGTGAAAACTTTATTACAAAACAAATCTAGTGGATGATTCATATGTTTTAAACAGAACAATTAGCCAAATGAGGCATGAAACTAACTTAAACTTTAAAAACATAAGAACATACATTGTTTTAAAAAACAGTCAATTACATTTTTGTACCCGTATGATTCACATGTATTAGACGACATCATTAGACAAAAGAGGTCATCTCCAACTGAAACTTTAAAAGTCTAAGAGCATACATTGTCTTAAAAGACAATCTGAAATATTCTTGTACACATTTTCAATGCATTAAAATTCATTTGTGAAAAGGAGCCTGTATTACAAACAAATTTTAAATCAGATGTCTTTGCAACTTAAAATCATAAATTGAAATCATAGAAACAGAAAGTTACTAACCTCCGTTTTGCTGATAAATTAAGTCAATAACAAATATTACTTCCTACTTTTCCCTCTAAATTCTCAAAGACTTCTTTGTATAAAACAATTATTTGAACTAAAATAAATGAAACACAGAATATTAGTTGAACTAAAATATATTCCAACTTCTCTTTGTATATTTGTTTAGCTTATGTTTAGTGTGGATAACAAAAATAGGCTCTTTAGTTAAACATTGTTAGATTAATGTTACTTTGGATTATATAATCGGTGCATGTGGTGAAGACAATTCTCATAATTTTTATACAATTTGATGAGACAATTAATGTTGCTTTGGATTATATTGCGGAAACACAATCTCAATATGACTGTTAAAAGTAGATAATCATACTTCGGTTAACAAAATGTGATATATTCCAACTTCTCTTTGTATATTTGTTTAGCTTATGTTTCACGTAGACAACAAAAATGGACTCTTTAGTTAAACATTATTAGATTAATGTTATTTTGGATAATATAGTTGATGCATGTGATGAAAATATAATTTTTATATAATTTAACGTGTACAAATCTGTGAATGTAATAGAAAAATATAACATATGTTTTGTGCATGTAATAAAAAAGAATGACTGTTTACAATTATATTAATAATTAAATATTTTATGTTTTTCAGTTTTCAATAAACAATTATTTGAAGTAAAATAAATTAAAAATAATTTTTTTTACCATGTTATAGTCCACATGTATACTATCATGTCAGAAATACATCATCATTACACATCACCATTTCCATGTCACATTTAATTAGATTAGATAGATGTTTTTAACCTATAGAATTAAAATAAATCAGTATGTTTTATTAAACTATATTGTCAATTAATAGGTAGAGGATATCTTTGAGCAAAATAAAAACCTACATATATATGTATCTTTTTCATTTTAGTTAAAAATTTGAATGTTATTAGTGAAAATTCTACTTTTTTATGTGTATGTTTTGTCAACCAACAGTAAAAGATCGGGACTTTTGTTCTGTATATAATCTCCTTTTACATCCAAAATTATTATTTAAAATTAATCTTTACACTAAATTTAGTATACAAAAAAACCTTGTATTACCACTAAATATTATCTCTTTAGTTGTTTATAGCGTTTTGTTAAAGTATAATTAAATAAATAATAGATTTTCCATGTGTGTGTATGTTTTGTCTATACAAATAGTATGCATAAGTACATGGAGTTCTGTCTAATATTTTCTTCTTGGTAATATTTTACTATTTGGATGTTTAATATTTTCACAATCGAAAAAAAATATTTCACAATCGATTTTGTTTTTTCATCTACCGCTTCCTCAGTTGCTTACGCGCACTTCGTTGGTCTGTAACGGCGGGAGAAATCCAATGTTGCGTTTGTTTCTCTCCATTTTTGTCAACATCCAAGGGTGCATTATCCGAATATATATCATATATTTTGAAACCCATATGGGCTTACAGTAGGCCCAGTAAGTAATAGAAATTGGGCTTCTGATCACTCAAACGGTGTCGTCTTGGCGTTGGAACTTAACAAATTTAGAGCGTATGTGAGATGGGATACGAACAGGACGGTACTTGTTGTCAAGCCACACAGCTACTCCTTTTGCCTCCAAAACTGCCTGCTTTGTTTCATATATACGTCAAAAGAGTTCCGATCAGTTCACAAATGTAGAAAAAAACTCAATAAACCAACACAAAAGGCTTAAGCTTAATGAGAATCATTATTAACCTCTTGATTAGGAAGTTTAAAGATGAAATGATCGAAGTAAATACGCGCAGCAGATGTTCCCGATACCCTCGCTTTCACCACAAACTTGTCACCACTCTGCTCAAAGAAAATGAAAATGCAAATACATATACTATAACAAAACATTGAGATGATATAATGTGAGCAATGTTGTGGAAGAGGAGAAGAAGGAGACAGGACATTACACGTAAAGGTGCGAGAAACTTCATTGTGAGCTCAGAAATTGCTAAGGCTTCACCAGAACGGGCTACTTCGTCACAGTTGATACCGATACTCTCCAGAAACTCGTGTCGACCTTTAAGAAGATGTGTTACACAAAATATTCCAATTAGAGTCAAGAAAAGGAGTAACTTTGATCATGCAGATGCTGAAAATTTTCAAACAATCTCAAGAAGCAAGAAACATTCACAAATATTCCAATTAGAGATTTAGAGTCAAGAAAGGAGTAACTTCGATGATGCAGATTCTGAAAATGTTCAAACAGTCTCAAGAAGCAAGAAACATTGCAAACGAATGAAAACTAACCGTGTTGGCAATAGTTTGCGTAAACAGCATTGTTGACAACCCCAAACTGATCCAATTCATAATCACGAACTTTGAGTTCAACCTCATGAAACCCACTCATTCTGCCAAATTCAGGTTTCAATTTGAGATTTTGCATCAGAAACAAATATTTAACATCACAAATATTTAACTTTCCCTTGGAAATATCGCAATTTTGATATTTGTAACTCGAAATTCTGAATCAGATACACAATTCCGACAAAAATATGCAACCGATTTCGTTACAGAAGCATTAGATTGATGTGTGTACCCTTTACCCCCTTTGAGATCGAGAAACGCGAGAGATTTGAAGGCTTTTGCGCTCCGGAGAGGCAAGATAAGAGGTTGCCTCAACGAGTAGGGGAACACCGCCGGTCGGCGAAGTAAATTGGGCGATAAATTGGCCGGAGCCGCCGTGCCGGTAACCTGAATCATTCGACGATATGGTACAATTACAATGTGATGGGTTTAGGTAGGTGAAGAGAGAGCTTTTTAGTTCGGGAAAAGAGTTTATGAAACTTTCGGTTTTGGTTTTCACTTTAGTTTGAATTTTGGGAAGGCTAAACCAAACCAAATCTTATTGGTTTAATCACAAAGATCTGACTCTGATTGGTGTCTTTTGCATGGCTGGTAGGAATCGTACAACCACTTGTCACTCTCCAACATGACGGATCAGAAAAACGACGTCATTTTGCTTTTTTTGTTTTTTCTGAACATTTCATTTTGCTATTTTAATCAAGGGTTTTTTTGTTCAATAACTATATTCGAAAAACAATCGAGGAATATAGCTATGATATTTGAAAAATTGGTAAACTAATTATGGCCCACAATCAATTATCGAAAATAACCTTGTACTATATGATACTACATACTATACTATATATAATTTTATGGAATAGTCCAATTTGATATAGTATATACAAAAAAAAAGAAAGGAAAGGAAAAACACGAAAGAGAAGGGGAGAAGAGGAAAGCGGAGGCAAAGAGAGGGGAAGGAAAAGATGAGAGATAAGATGAGCCGATATAAACAGAAGAAAGGAAATAAAAAAGGATGAGAAGAGAAAATAAGATCGTAAAAGAAAGAAATTAATCAAAAAACAAAAAGGGTAATTTTGTATATATTGTACAATATATGAAAAATACTATAGCACCTACTTTGCTATAGTTAATTTATGAATTTAGCTTGGAAATATGGTCATATGACCCAATTTCCCTTTAATTAAAAGAATTTATAACTTCACCAACAATACAAGTATACAACATCAAACTATAGTAACAAAACTAACAATAATACTACGGCCATTATCATTATCGCCATGACTATTGTTGTCGCCTCCGCCATTATTGATATTTGATACAGTTGTCATTATCGTTGTCAATTTTGAAAAGTATTATATATCATAAAATCCTTGATAAATAGACAATGAGACATCTATAGATTGATTAGAAACACTTAGAATATTTCACACGAATTTTTTTTTCAGTCTCTGCAAATCCAAAAACCGAAAGTACACGACTAATTATATATCACGATTTACCCAGAAACCATAATGTCAAATAACTCGGAAACACTCACAATTTTTTTTTTAAAATAATAATAAAGAAAAACAAAAATTCGCTGACAATTAATCTAGATTCTAACCTGCGATGTCAGTTAATCTAGATTCTATTATATTAAAAGAGAATCTAGTTTAGAAAAATAATTTTTACTTAATATGTCATTGGACTTTCATTAGATATATATAATTAATTAAATCTATTATATTCATTAAATCATTAAAGGTCTAATTTTTTGTTACTCTTCTCATTAGAGGCCCAATATTTTGTTATCCATCTTATAAAAGGCTCATCTTTCTTTAAAATTTAGAACTATCTAATTTTTTTTGTCTTTAATTCGAAATTTATTAAAAAAATATATAGAAAATGCCAAAATAATATTATTAAGGTCTAAATTTTATTTTTCCCAAAGGACATAAAATATGTTAGGCCGGGGCTATATGTCAATATTCTTTATTTTTTATTTTTGCGATTGGACTTCCTAAATAACTGATCATATACCCAGAAAATCAAGTTTATATACCATGATCAATTTCTTTCTGTTACAATACAAAGCCTATATTGGTTCCTTTTATATATATATTATTAAATGTAATATTTTATCACCATAATATATATATATATTCAATTATTTATATTATATTAATTATTTTTAACAGCATATTATTAATTATTTAGTATAAGAAATTTCCATTTTCATTTTGTTTTGCAAATTTTTTTAAAAAACAATTAAAAAGAAAAAAATATGAAAAAAGGAAAAAACACATAAAACACGAAGAAGAATAAAAAAAGCTGAAGAAAAATTACAGAAAAAGAACGAAAAAGAAAAATGAGTAAAAAGATGAAGAATAAAGAAAAATATGGAAAAATAAGAGAAACAGAGAAAAAAATTAATAAAAATAAGAAAAGAGGAAGAAGAAAGAAGAATAGCATAAAAAGGGAACTTAAAATAAAAATGGAGAAGAAGAGAAATGCAGAAAAGAAGTACGAAGAAGAAAAACATAGAAAAAAACTAAAGAAGAACAAACAAAAGAACGAGAAGTAAAACAGACAAAAAATGGAGAATAAGAAAAAGAACAGAGAAAAAAAGAGAGAAGAGAAGAGAAAAACAGAGAAAAAGAAGATGAATTTTTAAAAATAAGGGAATGGAGAAGAAAAAAAAAATGTAATTATAGTTATAATATATTTGAATCAATAACAAATAACTTATAATATTTTATTTTTGTACTTACAAAATTTAAATTCACTATTTATAATATATAAAAAATCTAACCATGAAAATAATACATTTCTATCTTATTTTTCATATCGCATTTTATAAATTACAAATTTTAATTTTTTTTTAAATATTATCCTGCGCGGACGTTAGAATCTAGATTTTGGACCAATATTTAAAAAAATAAAATAATTTATGAGTGTACCACTGTAAATAGTGAGTTGTTTTTATTTCTTGTTTAATCGTATTTTTTAGGGTCAGATTTGTGAAATCCTAACAATTAAAATGCTTACTATATCTTCTCCTTATATCCGCACTTTCTTATCCTTATCGACATTTCTTTCTTCCTTCTTCTTCCTCCTCCTTCCAACACTTCACAACAATGTCTTTGCGGTGCCTGTCAACAAATTAAAATGTAAAAGAAAGGATTCAAACTAGAAACTCATTTTAAATGTTCCTAAATTCAATACGAGAAAAAAATACTAACCTTGTTCCAATACTCTGGATCCATCTTCATTGAAGTAACCAATATCCTCTTCACCTCGGTTACACGAGAACGCTCACTCTTTTCGCAATAACCATATTTCTTATCCGCTACGCTATACCAAGTTTTCGTCCACCTACCATGCATATCCTCCGCACCATCCATGAAATAAGTGACGGGACGTTCACACGGGTCAGGTTTCAAAGGGCGGGTGTTAAACGTGAAAGGCCCATCGCTCGAAGACCGCCAAGTTTTGAAAGTCTGTAAGGGCGTAGCCAGCTCTGTAGCCGTCAAGAAGCTAGTGTAAATCTGAATGGAGTATCCCCAAGAAATGGATATAGACCATTGACGCTTGAGGTCATGGCAAATAGTCTGTTGGAGTATTCGGTTTGGGTCTAAGATATAAGGTTTCATAAGGGTTTGTAACGACTCTATCGAGGTTTGGCTAGGGAATATTGGGTCCAAGTAAACGAGGTGGTGCAACGATACAAGTGGTGCCAATGGATGTGCCGCTAGAAGCCCGTATGGATCTTCTCTTATGTCAAGCTGCAATTGTGTTTTTTTTTATCATCACAACACAACAAAGAATGTCGTTAGTCCAAAATTAACCAAAATACACAATTATTCATAGATACTCTATAAATAACCAGAATGATTCTAACTTACCAAATGAACAATCCAAAAAACGGAGAAATACATGAGATGTTATGATTTTCTGTATAATAGATATTGAAAAAGGTCACTTCATCTCAAGCTATGAACTATATATATAGAGCATACTATATATACAAAAGTCCAATATTATATTTATGACAAGTCCGGAAATCGATGTAAATAGAGTTTTTAGACCATTTCTAATGTGTTCCTCTATTTTTTCCTCTAAAATAGAGGAACTCTAAAATAGAGGTGTACTTCTCTCCAATGTATTCCTCTATTTTTTCTTCTAAAAAGGAATATTTTAAGAATATTCTCTTTATAATTTATTATTAATACCTTCTTTCTATAAAATTCACAAATTAACCTCATTTATATTATTGTTTACAAAAATTTCCATAAATAATAAAAATATATTAAAACTAAACATTTATTTCATAAACAAAATTCAAAATGACTATAGTATTTGTAATTTTCCATAATTTTCAAAACATTTATTAAATCACTATAGTATTTATCATATTCTACAATTTCTGTATTTTTAAAAAATTATTGCAATTTATCATTTTATTTATAATTTAGTTTGAAATAAATGAGAATTTTCCAATTTAGTTATATTATATGTTCACAAAATTTTCTCAAACCATAACAAAATTATTAAATTTATTTATTTATTAGGTTTTTGTATTTAATAACATACAAAACTGTATAATGTAACTTTATTGATGTATTATTGTACATGTGTATACTATATTTCTATTCATGTTTATTTTTTTATCGTGGATTAACCACTTTCATTTATAAATTATATAGTTAATTAAAGTAAATAATGTTTTCTGTTTTTCTATAATAGTTATTGTCTGAAATGATGTTGATTTTATTAAACTTTATTAAAATTATTTAATATTTTATAATTTAAATAAATTTATATGTTAGATATATGGCTATTTATTAGATATATACAAACTAGATTATGCAAATATTTAATTTAACTTTTTATATGTTATATAAATAAAAATAAAAAAGATGTAAAAGTTAAGGGACCAGTTTATAAATAAAAAAGTGTATCTCTATTATAGAGGAACAAATAGAGTTCCTCCAAATATAGAGGAAAAAATAGCAACCTCTATTTTAGAGGTAAAAATAGAGGTGGATTGGAGAGAATTTTTCTATAAACTCTATTTTTCCCTCTAAAATAGAGGTAGATTGGAGATGCTCTTAGCAAATAGAGATTCATATAGATGTGTTAAGAACATTAATATAAGGTAACTTTGGGAGTTGCCAACCTCTTCCTCACCCATCAATGAGGTTAATCAAATTATTCTGTTCTTAGTGGCAAATCTAAAATCTTCCTCCTTTTTTTTACCTTTGCACCTAAAAAAGCTCTAAATGAGCTATCTTATTTTCAGATCCGGCCCAAAGGGGGTGGGCAGAGGTGCGATGGCCCAGAGACCCTTCAACATTTTTATAGAAACTCTATATAAAAAGGGCCCAGTTTTTTGTGTTTTCTTTATTAAAAAGTCTAATTTTTTTATTTTTTTTGCTACTAAGGGGCCCAAATTTGTTTTCTTTGCTACTAAAATGTCCAAAAAATTAGAAAAAGCATAGTTTAATTCTAAAGTAAACCTAAATTCTTAAAAAAAATCCAGTTGTAATTTTAATAAAAGGTCCAAAAAAAATTTTGGCCCTAGGGACCTGACTTTTACTGGGCAAGGGCTGCTTATTTTATATCTTATTATGTTTCCAAGCTCAAATAAGCTTCAATACCTGATTTGGATTTGTCAACATGAACTAGTAGTACTCAACATAAAACATAAGTTGATTTTTTAAGGAAAAAGTATTTTTTTCCCCCATAATGTTTTATTTTTATGGTAAAATGGATTAATTAACGTATATAATGTTCTACGAAAAAGCACAAATGTTTTATTTTTTTATGGTACGATGGGAAAAGTTGGAACGTGCGTAACGGCCTAACGGGACGTACCTGGTGAAAGCCACGTTCTTGGGTGAAGGGAACACCGAGCTCACTAACGCAAGCCGCGATTCTCTGATCCGACCCATAAAAGTAAAAATACCGGTCGAGACAACCGTCCATCGCGTCGGCTAAATGCGCCGCGAGTGGACGACTAATGGCGAAACCGCCTCCTCCAAACGCCATGTCGTAAGTGTGCATCACGTCCTGCTCGACGCTCTCAGAGTTCCCGCCGATATACCACATCTGCTCATGGTCGTACTTGGAGAGAACCTTGACGAGATTATCCGTGAAGAAGACGGTATCATCATCTCCCATCACGAACCACCGCACATCAGGCAGTTTCACCTGATAACTATCCCATATGATCCGAGCAATGCGAACACCTTCTCTCGAGCTTGAGAAATTGAACCGGGTCCATCCTGGATCGGAGACTCGAGTCGGGATCAAGAACCGGTTTTTGGAGTGGTTTTTGGGGGTTTTAACCGGTTCATCAAGCCAGACGAAGCCGCGCGTGGAGTCCCGCCACCACAATGAGGTGTACCTGCTCCGGTCAAGCCAGGTTTCGTTTGCTCCGGCTATACAGAACTGAATGTGGGATACATTGGTCGGCCCGACGGATGCGTTTACCGGTAGGTCTATGGATTCTTGAGAAACGGCGTCGTAGGTGGAGTAGTAGTCATCAGGGGAGGATGAGGATAAAATGGTGGTGCGAAGAACGAGAGAGACGGAGACGATGAGGCACGTGAGGATGGAGATGTACATGAGAAGCACGAGGTAATCACGTGGCCGCTCTAGCCTGTGAAAGAAACGGGAAAACTTTATGCATTGGATCTTCTTCATCACTACCGGAGATCAAGTTAATTTACCCAATTTTTTTTTCTTTTCCGATGACACTTAAATGGAAGATGAAGACACGCGAATGTCAACGGCGAGAGAAACATTCGTAAAAAAAAAAAAAATGTTAATAGATTGTATATCAAGTTTCAAACTATAATGTTTAAAACTGAATGAAACATAAACGAGGCAGTTGTTCCCGGTCAATGGTAAGAGAACTTTCGAAATAAATGTTCTAAGCCAATAAAACTAAAGGTGAGTTAGGTAAATATTTAATGGTTTGCCATTTTGTTTAAGAAACTAAATAATGAAATGAGTTTCTTCATATATATACTGGCGCTAGGGTAAGACTTATTACATAAACTTTGAACACGCATCTATATTTGTTTGTAAATGGTAAGCCACTAGTTATCTCGTTTAACTTTTTATATAATTCATTACTAATCTCTAGTAACTAACAACTCCCAACGTCGTGCTATCGACATGTGCATCTTAATTGTATCCAAAATAGTTAAGTAATTGGACAACTCCCATCCTGATGGCAACATTTGCGTCTTAATTGTATCCAAAATAATTATACAACTCGCAACGTGGTATCGACATGTACATCTTACTCTATCCCAAAGTCATCATTCTTCATTCATCAAAGTATATCTTAGCATTCAATATCTTTGTTTCAATTATAATTAATCTAAAAGGGGAAAAGAAATTGTCAGTTGAGTTATTAACTTGCCATAGTACTTTACGTTTTAATTTGTGGCAAACGAGTTATTACTGTTTTCGTCTAACCCAGAGTTAGGTTTTGGCCAATGTAGGTTTTAGGTTAACTTTTTTAAGGTTTTTGGTTTGATCTAGGCAATATTAAATGTTGTATTTGAGTTTATTAACTTGAGAAATTTTAGATCAAATTCGATTTACAAAAAATACGACCCGAACTAATCTACTTTTTTTTTTATCAAATTTTTACTTCCATAAACTTAGAGTTTTTTCTCCAATCGAAGGAGATACAAACAGCCACTACGGACCGAACAAAGCAATTCAGCTACGTGCAAAATAAAGAAAACATTACAGTAAAACCTCAAACTGAGATAAATGGATAGATAGAAGCTACCAAACTCAACCGCAGATAGATGAGAACTAAAGAGCTCAACCCAAAGAACCTCTAGATCTTTTTTTTGGTCATGACCAAAGAACCTCTAGATTAAAGCAAACTTTATTGTCTTGAACGACGTCACCAAAAGAGGAATCACAGCCTCCAAAGTCGGTAAGGTAAAGCCGTCAGCACCAACAAGTATTGAACGAGAGACTGATAATCTCACGATTTTTGTTCTACAAAGAACTACCTTCGACACGATGTTCCCTGAAACAATACCACTCAAGACAAGTGATATATTTGGGATGAACACAGCCTCCTTAAAAGAGAGATAAGGACTATAAAAATCTAAAATCCAATTCAAAGAAAGAAGGCTATGCAGACAAATATTCTTCCTAAACTGACATTTAAGAATAGAACCTGAAACATCCATCAACATAGTTTAAGATGTGGCTTGGGTTGGATCAAAAGAGTTTAAGATCGGGGGTAAGTTGTTTGTATCGTAAATAATTTGACTAAGGCAAACCCAAATCTAATTTATAATGTTTTAACTTTGGATAGGATTCGATTATTTTTTTTTATATATAAAAAATGACAATAACATATATTAAAATATATTTTAGCAATTAAAATAGTTTTTTTGACTTACGACGAGTTACGATCAAGGTTAATACTCCATTCGTTTCATAATAAGTGTCATTTGGATTGAGAACAAAGTTTCCAATCACTGTATGGGGACATGCTATATTGCATGTTGGGGCATTGGTCCAGGTAAGACCAAGTGCGTATAATGAATATTCCCCCATACAGTTAGCATTTGGCCAGAAGCCAAATGTATCCCATCTTCGTGTATTTAGGTGTGCAGTCTATGTCCCTATAGTGCCACCTCAAAGAACAAAAATGGGACCACAAAGAAGATTGGGAATATATATCGGGTATTCGTCACCAAGTATAAATTAGGTATCTTGAGCCGGTAACTGGTGATATGTTCATGGCACGATTTGCCAATTGCCACTTTGATGAAAGTGAATTCCCTGCATTAGGGGGAGGATTGAGAGAACCACCAAATGATATCACATGGTGTACAAAAACTTTGGCTTATCTTGATCCTCCTACAAACCAACGCGAGGTGGAAGTTCAGAAAATTATACATATACAAAGATTGGCAAACCAGTTACCGATGCATTCACTGATACAAGAAGGGTGACAAAGTCTTATATCCCCGCTGCTAACGCTCCATCAAAGATAAATGTTCCTGAAGAACATATTGATGTAAATAGAGAAAATGAACCGGTTCAGTTAAAGCGCGGGAGGCCAGTAGGATCAAAAGATAAAAATCCCCGAAAAAGAAAGAAATTGGAAGCAAAGGTTCTGGAAGAACCAAATAAAGTCAAATGTCCTGAAGACATTTGTGAAAAGGTTCCTGAAGAACCAAATGAAGGTATATGTCCGGAAGACATATCCGAACCAGTTCCTGAAGAACTAGGTAAAGAGGTTTGTCCTGAAGACGAATCTGAAGCAGAAAAATATGAGATTTCCATCTTCTTCGTCCAAAGTGGAAAATTATGGGCTAGAAGTGAAATAGAAGATAATGATGGAATGTTCTCTTTTTCTGTTTCCAAAGAGATCGATCATGAAAATGATGATCAAGATCCAAGTTCCGTGTCAGAGTGCCAAAGAAGGCCTGACTGGGATAAATGGCAAGTTGCCATGAGGGATGAGATATTCTCCCTTAATAAACGGAACGTATTCAGACCGATAATTATTACACCTGAAGATGTAATACCGGTCGGATACAAATGGGTCTTTGTAAGAAAGAGAAATGAGAAAAATGAGTTTACAAGGAATAAAGCTCGCCTTGTGGCACAAGGAAATTCTCAAAGACCGGGAATAGATTATGAAGAGACATATTCCCCGGTCATGGATGCAATCACATTCAAGTACTTAATGAGCCTAGCGGCCTCTAATAATTTAGAGATGTACTTGATGGATGTTGTGACTGCATACCTATATGGTTCACTTGAGAGTGACATATACATGAAAATCCCTGAAGGATTTAAGATTCCTCAAGGATCAAAGATGCCTAAAGCATCTAAAGAGCTATGTTCGGTCAAACTACAGCGATCACTTTATGGATTAAAGCAATCCGGATGCATGTGGTATAATCGCTTAAGTGAGTATTTGTTGAGTAAAGGTTACGTCAACAATGCGATATGCCCTTATGTGTTCATTAAGAAATCCGCATCAGGATTTGTGATCATTGCTGTATATGTTGATGACCTGAACATGATTGGAACTCAAAAGGAGATTGATGATGCTAGAGCTCATATGAAAGATGAGTTCGAAATGAAAGATCTTGGAAAGACAAAATTTTGTCTAGGACTCCAGATAGAGTATTTCCAAGATGGAATATTTGTGCATCAATCAAATTACACCAGAAGGGTGTTGAAACGCTTTAGTATGGATAAAGCGACTCCTTTGAGTACTCCAATGGTCAATAGACCACTTGACGTTGACAAGGATCCATTTCGACCTTGTGAAGGTAACGAAGAAATATTAGGTCCTGAAGTGCCTTATATGAGCGCTATCGGTGCCCTTATGTATCTTGCAAATTGTACTAGACCAGATATAGTATTTGCTACTAACTTACTTGCAAGGTATAGTTCATCACCGACGCGCCGGCATTGGAATGGAATAAAGCATATATTCTGTTATCTTCAAGGTTCGATTGAATTTGGATTATATTATTCTAGAAACCCCGAGGTTGGTCTAGTTGGTTTTGCAGATGCAGGATATCTGTCTGATCCGCATAAAGCTCGGTCGCAAACTGGATATGTTTTCACATTTGGTGGAACTGCGATCTCTTGGCGATCTCAAAAGTAAACTTTGGTCGCGACTTCTTCAAACTATGCGGAGATTATTGCACTTCATGAAGCATGCAGAGAATGTGTATGGCTTCGGTCGATAGCTCATCACATACAAGAAGTAAGCGGAATAATCACAGACAAAGAACCAACAAAATTGTTTGAAGACAATGCTGCTTGTGTCGCTCAAATTAAGAAAGGTTATATCAAGAGCGATAGAACGAAGCATATCCCTCCAAGATTTTTCTCATATACTCAAGAGCTCGAGAAGAAAAAGAAAGTGGATATTCAGTATGTTCGTTCAAGTGACAACGCAGCTGATCTCTTCACAAAAGCGCTTCCTACTACAACATTCAAGAAACATGTTCATAGTATTGGAATGCGGCATCTACGAGATTTGTGAAGAGAGGATGAGATCCATCTTTTCCAGGGGGAGTTTGCTTTTGCTGTACTCTTTTTCTCTTTATCATGGTTTTTATCCTATTGGGTTTTTCCATGGAAAGGTTTTTAACGAGGCAGCACGCAACTTCACAGCGATGGATACTCATGCGCCATTTCGAGGGGAAACGCTACTGCACTCTTTTCCCTGTCATGGTTTTATCCCACACGGGTTTTTTCATGATAAAGTTTTTAACGAGGTAATACATAATACATCATTAGTGATGGATAATCAAGAGAGAGTGTTAAATGGATAGTGATTATCCATTTGCTTTTGTCTTTATACATTATCATATTAAAAGATAATGTGTATCCATAAGTTTTAGATAATGCTTATCCATATGTTTTGGATAATACTTATCTATATATTTTGTCTTTATAGATTAGCTTATTTCACTATGAAGTAAAGTTTTTTTTATAAATAGGTAACTTTATTCTTTGTAAAATTATAAGTTCAGAAGAATGGATAATCAAGGGAGAGTGTTAAATGGATAGTGATTATCCATTTGCTTTTGTCTTTATACATTATCATATTAAAAAATAATGTGTATCTATAAGTTTTAGATAATACTTATCTATATGTTTTGGATAATACTTATCTATATATTTTGTCTTTATATATTAACTTATTTCACTATGAAGTAAGGTTTTTTTTATAAATAGATAATTTCATTCTTTGTAAAATTATAAGTTCAGAAAAAGAAAAAAATGAAGTTCTTATGTTCATCTTTCTCTTTTTCTCTTTGAACTATAAAAGATCTTAAACTCTTCTTTGCTTTTTTTTATAAAAGATTAGTTTACAACATATATTAAGTTTTCAAAGATAAATGAATGATATCTGGTAAAAGTATGCTACAATTTATGAACGATTAAGAAAAAATAATCTGAACTTCCTCCTCATTTGAATCGACACGACACGTAAACGATCTTTTAAAATCTTTTTTGTTAATGCACAATTTAATCGGAGCACAAAGATCAAAGATAAAAACAGAAGCAAAACGACGAGGAAATAAGTAACATTTATGTCCACGTGAACCCATTTGGTTTCACACACGCGATTCATTTTCCTAAACACAAAAAAAAAGATTCCGTATCTCCCAAATCATAATGATACCCATTTTTCTCTTTTCACCTTTAAAACCTTTCACACCAAATACATTTACACACAATCTCCGGATTTACTTCTTTATGCGTCTCCAACTTTTATCAGCATATATATACAAGCAAGAGCCTAATGAAAACTCAACCATCTCATAATATAAAAACAAAACACATCTCCAAGAAACACTAAAATGGCAAACCAAAGAGGACATATAGTGATGATGATCATCACTTCTTGGCTTCTTTATGCAACACCTAGCATCCATGGCTGGGGAATTGAAGGTCACACCATCGTCTGTAAAATCGCTCAGGTTTTTCATTTTCATCTTATTCATCTTTTCATATTATAATCAAACTTTGTAATGTAACTAACAAGTAAAAAGAGAAAGAACAGACTAGGATTGATGAAACTGCAGCGAAGGCGGTGAAAGAGCTGTTACCTGAATCTGCAGAAGGAGACTTGTCAAGCATGTGTGTTTGGGCTGATCGTGTCAAGTTTAGATACCATTGGTCTAGTCCTCTTCATTACATCAACACTCCAGACGCATGTTCATACAATTACAATCGTGAGAGCTTTTTTTTTCCTTCATAATCATAAAAAAAACATAAGTGAGAAGATTTCCAAACGCAGTTTCTTATGGGGTTTTCAGTTTTGTTTGTTTTGGGGGTCTGAAGGGGACTGTAAGGACGAAACTGGAGAGAAAGGAAGATGTGTTGCAGGAGCCATCTACAATTACACTACACAGCTTCTTACCTACAACACTGCAGCTTCATCTAAATCACAATGTAGCACCAAAAACTTATCCACATCAATTTTGCTCATCTACTATCTTTCTCACATGTTCTTCTCTTTTCTTGTCATCAGATAACTTAACAGAGGCCCTGCTCTTCCTGTCTCATTTCATGGGTGATATCCATCAGGTATAATTACAGATCCGTCAAGTTATATATAAACGGTTTCTCAAAAGGATATACCTGAATTGCGTAATTGTGAAAAATGCAGCCTTTACATGTGGGTTTTGCTTCGGACAAAGGAGGGAACACCATCGAAGTGCATTGGTACAGGAGACAAGCTAACCTTCATCATGTAAGAAACCCAAAAAAAATATGAGTTCTAACAAACGCATATATAAATCGAGCATCAGATATATTACATTACAGAGTTCTAACCTTTTGATTTACACAGATTTGGGATTCCAGCATTATTGAGACCGCTGAAGCAGATCTCTACAACGCCGAGCTAGAAGGAATGGTGGATGCAATCAAAAAGAACATCACGGTACTCATGAATGGAAAAGAATACTCTTTAACTGTGTATGTCAAGGTGTTTTCTGAATCGTTGACATTTTCTAATAAAATGCAGACAGAATGGTCAGATCAAGTCCCAAGATGGGAGAGTTGCACAAAGAAGGCAGCATGCCCTGACATGTAAGTCAGATACAAGACTATAGTACCTTTGAACATAAGTGATTGCTCTTCAAGCCCGCAAGAAACCAGATATAACTTCCAATTGCTTTCTCCTGCAGCTATGCATCCGAAGGAATTCAAGCAGCCTGTGACTGGGCATACAAGGGTGTAACTGAAGGAGACACTCTAGAAGGTAACTAAAGATATCGTCCAAAACCTATTATGATGATTCACAAAATAAAGAAAGCTAACAAGAACATAATGTCTTCTTCGCAGATGACTACTTTTACTCACGTCTACCGATAGTGTATCAGCGCTTAGCACAGGGAGGGGTGAGACTAGCAGCTACACTAAACAGGATCTTCGGTCAAAGCTGAGTTTAAAGCAACTGATTGTTCTAACACAAAGAAGAGCACAGCAAAGCTCGTTCTTTATTAAACAAATTATATCATGTGTACACTCACAAAGTTTCTTCAAACAGTAATAAACAAGTAAAGCATTATCATCAATATGTTTACAATACACACACACATACACACAACAAGCCAGGGTTTCTCGAAAAAGGGTCTTTAAGCCTTCGTCCTCACCACAAGAACAGGGCACTTAGCCTTGTTAACACAGTAATTGCTAACACTTCCAAGGAAAGTCCTGTTCACACGCACACACAATATAAGACACATTTATCATCTTAACATTCTTGTTAAAATACTGAAGTTTCGGTACACAGTACGCACCTTTCTAGTGCCCCTTTACCATTGCTCCCAACGATGAGCAAATCAACACCAAGCTTCTCAACAGCGTCACATATCGCTTCTTTAGGGTTTCCAGATTCCATCACCTTTTTTGGGGTAACCTGTTTACACAACCAAACCAGGTATGTCAACGCGAGATTCGATCCCATAGCATTCCAAAATCAACGATGCGCTTGGCCTTTCCTCGAGCTCTAAAACAGAGTTTTTCTTGCTATCAAGAATAAAACTTCATTCATATAACTGAGGAAGATCGTAAAACAACACTAACCCCACTCTCAGCACAGATTTTGGCCCCTTCATCAAGCCGATTCAAGGCGCTGTTCTTATAATTCCGTTGCATTGAGTTTATCAGCTCCATCGCTGCAAATCAGAAGACGACTCAATTTCAAAATCCAACCATGGAGAACACTAGTAACACGCGTGTACACCCGGTCTACATAAACAACAAATGAAATCGCGACGCCGGGATCGAATTGCTAAGAAAAAATAATAATAATACAGAAGATGGAGATACTAACGAGTGGCGCCATAAGAGGAAGCATAGACGGAGCTGAGATCAAGTGGAGGCTGAGCGGTGAAGAGGATGATATCGGAATCGGCGAGGCTATCCTTGAGATACACGAGCGTCCATTTCAGAGCTTGTTTACTGCAATCGCTATCATCGACCGCAACCATCACTTGCTTCTTCCCGCTTTTCTCTTCTGCCATGGTTGTTTCTTCGTGATCGTCCGATTACCAAATGTGAAAAAAAAAAATTGAACAAGCAAGCACTTTGTTTATTTTGATTTCTTCTGAGGAAGAAGACGACTGGAGCGTGGAAGCACGTGCTGATGACGTGTTGGTCCCTAAACGAGCCCACGAGGCTCTTCTAGAGACTTCAGTTACATGGGCCTGGGCCAACTTCGATCTTCCATACATCACATCAGGTCCAGAGAAAAAAGATTATTCAGCTTGATATTTGCTTAAATAAAATCGGAAACCAAAAAAAAAAAAAAAGAGAAACACCATCGTCTTCCATCTCTAGATCATCCCTCTAATTGGATTTCTGCGCCGAAGTACTTGATCAATTTCAGGTACCGTTTCGTCTTCTTCTTTGGTTTTCATTAGCTGATTGTCTCTTCCCTGGGAATTTAGGGTTCTTTGTTCTGTGTTAGCCGGTTAGGGTTTTACGATTCTCAATTGAAAAAACTCTATTTTGTTTTCTCTCTGTGTGCATGTACTTATGGATCGTTGCTTTGATACTCTGGCAGGAGAAAAATGGTTTCTGGGTTAATTAATGAGAACCCAATTGTTTACGAGAAGAAAGAGCGGCGTGTTCGAGCTGAATCAAGCAATACTGATGAGCTTTCTGCAGAACCAATAGATCAGCTCGAGATTTTCGATATCCTTTTTCTACTGAGCTTACTCTGTTTCAGCTAAAGTTTCTTTAAGCGCTTCAGAACTTTCTTTTGAAATCACTCAATTGCAAGCTTTTTAATTGGGAAATAGATATTGGATCATTTGTTTCTCCTGAGCATTTCACACATCATATAAGAGATATCAAAGATCCAGAGCATCCTTATTCTCTGGAAGAGCTCAAAGTAGTTACAGAAGACTCAGTTGAAGTTGATGATGACAAAAGTTATGTCAGGTAAAAAAGAAAGCTTGCATTGAACCTTTTTGTGTTTGGACTTTAGTTGTAATTGAAGCCAGTCTTGCTGAGCTCTGCCATTTCTTTTGCAGGGTCACATTTACTCCAACTGTTGAACATTGTAGCATGGCAACCATTATCGGTCTTTGTGTCCGTGTTAAGCTTCTACGAAGCCTTCCTGCTCGATACAAGGTACAAGCTTTTCGATATATTTTTTTCTCAATTCTCTTTATCTGCGTATTTTGAGCATTTTGAAGATGTTCTTCTGACTTATGCATTACTGAAGTACGAACATTCAGTGAGAATCGTATTCATGAAGTGTTTCACTAAATAAAAGCTCACCAACACATATTCTGCTTCTGATATGTTAGGCAAAGAATCATTTTGCTTGCTTCATTGTTAAGCTATTGTTCTGATGATTGCTTAGAGAATATAGCTCGGGCCTCTACTATATGTTATTACGACTGCCTTAAAACCAGACACTACAGTGTTTTAGTTTTTGCTTCAATCCTTTGAAAATCTTCAATTTTCAGATTGACATAAGGGTAGCACCTGGTACTCATGCAACAGAGGATGCAGGTACATCATTTTTTCGATATCCTTGCTACGTGTCTTTTGGATTTTGATTGTTGCGAATGAAATAGTAGAGTGACAGAGCAAGTTTCAGTTGATTCTCGAATTAGCAAATGAATCATGAAACTGCACTCTATGCGCAAAAGAGTAGATCACTAGATCCATATTTTTGTTTGGACCACTTGTACAAGTGCGGTTGTGACATTTATCGTTTCTTGCTCTGAAAATGCAGTCAATAAACAACTAAACGACAAAGAACGTGTGGCGGCTGCACTAGAGAATCCAAACCTCGTGGAGATGGTTGATGAATGTCTGCTTCCATCATTTGAGTGATACTAGATGCTCTCATGGTACACTATGATACATGTCTCTGCTTTGTCTGCTGAGATTTTGATCGATTAGGACTTACTTTGTGTTCAGGTTCTTGTTTCAATCTTTTAAAGACTGAGAATTTATCCACGGAATAAGATATTGATTTGTTCCTCTTCTTAGGCTTATGCCGTCTCAGAAATCACATTCCTTTTCACACTTGAACTTCTTATAAACTCATCTAATCCATTTGCTTCTGTCTTGAACTAACCGTTTGTCTATCTTTTAGCGTTTTGATTTCCAAAATCTGTAGAAGAAATAGTTCGAAGAATCCTACTGTAACAGGAATTTGTATAGCAACTTGGTCTCAAGATCAACCTAAATGCATAATCTGTAATGATCCAATAAAATCCTGCAATCAATTTTCTCTTATAAATGTTTTATGGGTGGGTTTGCTGAATAAAATCTTCACTTTCTCTTCCAAGTGGGTTTGAATGCAACTCCCATCCTTTAATCCATCTTGTGCCTTGAATTAACTCATCTTCAAATCTAAAAATGTGCATGTTTAAAGTAGTAAACTACAACTCGGAAACAAGAAAATGAAAATCATATTTTCTTCTTTTGTTTGAAAAGATATGTTTTAAATGGATGAATTTTGTCGTGTACATCTATTCTATAAACACAAATGAGAGTGTAAAAAAAACACAAATGAGAGTGTCAATAATACTATACTAATAATTTATTAAATGTCATTGTTGATTATATACAAAGATGATAAAGAGAACACATATGTCAAAATCGACTTTATTTTCTTTATTCCTGGTCTTTAGGCTTTATTTACATTTTTTTGTGAGTTATCATCTTCGAAAAATCGGTTTAAACAGTAAGGGGATGTATTAGCAAAAACCATAATACATGCACATAGACATTTTTGACTTCTTGGTATAAAGCGACACCGCCCTTCCTTATATTTCCAATATTATTATTTGTTTAACAAAATACAATACAGTATGAGACTGAAAGTTTACTGACAAATGAAAACTTAGGAAGACTCTTTGAATATTCAAAGTTTGAAGGATATATTCTATTCGATCGAAGTCAGGATAATTAGCTGTCTTCTAGAAATTGGGTGTTAAAAAACAATTAGCTGTCTTCTAGCTTTACCAGTTACATCAAAGTTGCAACTTATATAATTCTAAAATGTGTGTAAATCCGATATATGTTGAGCTTTGATTTCTTATTTTGAATTCGTTTTCAGATTTTTTGGCAGATATAAACATCTTACCATATTATATACGTAGACTAAAAGCTCTTTCAAAACACAATTTAAAAAATAAATAACAAAATGTTTGGTGGGCTATAAACTAGATCAGATATTAATATTCAGAAAATCTATCATTGTAATAGAAAACTGATTACAGAGGTAGAATATATATATATAAAAAAACAACTACATATATATATATGCTAGACTTAAATTAATTATTTGGCATACATATCATTTTGGTTGAAAATTCTTTGGCATATTATGTTCTAAACTTTTCGAGTAAAGTTAATTTATTCAAGAATCTATCTAAACTGTACTTCCTCTTCCAAAACTATGCTCAATATTATTATGTTAAAAAAAAAAAAAAAAAACTATGCTCAATATTATATTCTTTCCACGTGAACATCTAATCCATATAGAGTCACGAAATTCCATTTCGTTTCATCATCACACAACAAAAAGGTTGATAATGATGCTGTACATCTTATATATTCTAATTCTATATACTTCTTTGTAATTCATATAGCTGGTTCAATATTGCAGGATTCGACTAGTCCAAATATAAATATGTTCTTCAAAACATCATATTGGATGTATTATTTAATTAGATCAATTTCAAAAGAAAATATTTTCATAAATGCATTGGCTTCTCAGTTTATATACTAGCTTCTGAAATACTATATTTAACTGCATAATACACACTAAACACTTGTCACCAAATTCCGTTTCCGAATCAACATCAAAATAACGTCAAAAGCCTTCATTTTAAAATAGATGTATGGTTCATTGTAGGGTTTCGACTAATCCATATATCAATATATTTTTCTATAAAATCTTTTGAACAGATTAACACTTAGATGAATTATTGAAATGAAAAACTTTTAAACAGATTAACACTTCGATGAATTATTGAAATGAAACCACAAATGCAAAAGCAAAACCAAATATATAATGATTTTTTTTGCATATAACGTAAAATCTTAAACTGTGAGTTCTCAACATTTCAATGGCAAAAATATACTACTAAATTAACAATATAATCCAGATGACAATTTATTTATTTATTAATTGTCATCTCTAGTTACACTAAGAAGCTAAATGGAATATAATTTATTTAAATTAAATCTGAAAACGTGTGATCATTAGTGTTGCATTGGGAAAAAGCAAGCTGATGGCTAAAGTATGAACAGATTCCAATACCACGAGTCTATAAATTCCCAAGAACCTATGGATTCACTTTCACTTCTCAAAGCACTAAAAGCCTCTCTATCTTTATCTCTCATAGAGTCATGCATGCATAGAGCTTAGGAGATATACCAAAAGTAACCCACAAAACAAATAGCATCAATTAATAAGGAAATCGTAAGCAAGAATGGAAAATTCAATGAAGAACCAGAGCTTCAAAGAAAATGAAGATGCAGAGCTGAGAAGAGGACCTTGGACTCTGGAAGAAGACACTCTTCTCACAAATTACATTCTCCAAAACGGTGAAGGCCGTTGGAATCACGTTGCCAAATGTGCTGGTAATTACTTATAAACATGATCATTATATTATTAGATTCTCTTACTATATATGATCTTAGTTAAGGATCCTTACCTTGTTTAAAATAAATGAAAACAGGGCTAAAGAGAACCGGGAAAAGTTGTAGGTTGAGATGGTTGAATTACTTGAAACCGGACATCAGAAGAGGGAATCTAACTCCACAAGAACAGCTTTTGATCCTCGAACTCCACTCAAAATGGGGTAATAGGTGAGTCACTCTCGATCTTGTTCTTTTATTATTATATAACCAAGAAGTTGCGGAACTTTGACTTTAATTGTGTGTTTCACAAGGTGGTCCAAGATTGCACAGTACTTGCCAGGAAGAACGGACAACGAGATCAAGAACTATTGGAGAACGAGAGTTCAGAAACAAGCTCGACAACTCAACATTGAATCTAACAGCGACAAGTTCTTTGACGCTGTTCGTAGTTTCTGGGTCCCTAGATTGATCGAGAAGATGGAGCAAGACTCATCCACTACTTATTCTTGTCCCCAAAACAACAACAACAACAACAGCAATAACAATAACTCTCTTCTTCCTACTTCTCAATCTTACGACTCCATGATGAGTACACAAACATATACAGATTTCTCAGGTCAATACCCGGATTTGAGCTACATGGACGGTTCAACTTCAAATTCCACTCTCATGACAGTTCCACAGTTTATGGAACAAAACACCATCGATGGTTCGATGTGTTTCCATGATCAAGAACTTGGCGATTATGTTCCTGGCATGGAGGAATATTACATGGGAAACTATTCAGACATATCAACTGAATGCCACGTGGCGGAAGCGTACGAGGATGTCACACAAGATCCCATGTGGAACATGGATGACATTTGGCAGTTTAGGGAGTAATATTAAGTCAGTCAAGAGATGAGAGTTTGCTTATGATGGAGTTGGAGCCCACCACCATGGTTTTATTTTATATACTAGTAGCTAGTAGCACAATATATTTCATTTTAGTATGTGATAAAAAGTTATTGGATAAATATTATGATGATAGTTTGCATAAGTCTTTGAATTCATGCAATCTTGTATAAGTCTTTAAATTCATGAAATCTTGTACTCCTCTGTTCTTTTATATAAGTTTTTATAGTTAAAACACACAAAAATTTAAGAACATACACAAATTATATATTTTATATTTCTCCATTAAAAATATCAATATATAATTTTTTTTTGTAACTATCAATATATAGTTAAAACTTAAAAGTCAGTTCTATCAAAAATTAAAGATACAGCAAGCAAATTGTCACAAAACCAAGTAAATTTAACTTTTGCATAAAAGCTTCAAAAATCATATAAAATGAAAGAAAATAGAAGTTTGAAACATCTTATAACATGGTTAGTACATGTATTCTGATTAAATAGGCTTAATTTGAACAATTTGCTGAGAAAACATGTACTGATCATGTTAAGCTTGAGGGTAAATAGTAAAGGGTAGTCTCTTCGCTTGAATCCTGTGTGGCTTATGTGGATTTAAGTTAGAGAATATATCTAATCGAGAATAGCCTCATGATGTGATAAAGAACCCAAAAGCAAGGAGAGACTCTATCCAAGTAATTAAAACAATGGGTCCGGATAGGAGTCATTATTTCAAGAAACTAATAATTAGTCTCTTCGCCAAAATTGATGTCTTCTTTTGGAAGATATATAAGTGCAAAGTTGACGACATTACAGGAGAATGTGATTGACATATATATCGTTTTGTGGAATCATAGTAAAAGTTAATTATCGAAGTACTGTCTCTTACATTTGATAAGAGTACACATTTAGACGAATCCCATGTTGCTATACAAAAGATCATTAATATGATGGAGTGGATTGCACTATTTAACTTGATGGGTTAATCAAAACTAAAAGAATAATGCCTATATTTTGGCAATGCCTTATGCTTGTGTGCACTAGCAATAACCAATGTGGGTTCAATATAGCATAACAAAGACTAAGGACCCACTAATTATATATTAACAATTATCCCAAAAGAGCTTCAACCAGAATGATAGAGAGAGGTGGCTTTGGAGAAGTCTTGTTAAAGAGATCGAATTATTGGAGGTCACTTCAAAAGCCTTTCATAAGTATATGGAAACTCCACAATGATTTGAACCCAAAGGTACCACTAAAAGTTGGAACAAACATTGATGCACTTTTGAGAGGTCAAGAACAAAAGATCAGACACATTATGCACGCAAATGTTTATCTATTTCATGTGACTTTTTGGAATAACATACGAATTTTGTTGCATGAGTATTTCAAATATTAAAATAAATTTTTATTATTCTTTGGGATTATTATCGAATCAAGAAACGTAGATACTATGCGACGAATAGTTTTTTTTCAAATATTATGTCGGCTGGATTGGTTAATATCTAAAACTGGTGCACTAACCTCAAATAGAATTCAGTGGAGGTTAAACTTCAGAAAAGACATGCGTAAAGGTGGAGCCAAGTTAAACAAAAACAATACTGTATAGGTCAAATGTTCATTAATTAAGTAGATATGTTAGTCGACATTATTATATATATACATATATATATATAAAATCAGGCTACCAAGATTAATTGTTATGAAGTGTTGAGAGTTATGAACCCAAAATCAATAGTTCAACGTGTTGTACTTTAAAATTATTATAGGGAATAGAAGAAAGAGATTTTGATTTCGTGCATCAACAACAGAAAGAGACTAATCTAACATGTTCAAGTCTTTGGTTTGAAGAAACTATATATGAGTTCTTATGGCCAATACTTATTGATAAAATGAAGCAAATTATGGTTAAGTAGAGTGGTGTGTCAATGTTGATGGTATAATTAAGCATGAAAGACTAGTTAAAAGTCAAGGTAACTGTTTGAAGAAAGAGAGACCAACGTAAGAACACCAGCTGGTTTGGTTCATGAAACACGACATATTTACAACAAAAGTTATTATCATCATCTCTTTAGATCAAACAGTGTTATTTTGGCACCAAATTGTACATTTACAACGCATATATTGTTCGACTTAATTTTCTTGCTCCGTGTTTCTCGAGTTCAAATTGTTCACATTCTTCAAACAAGTTCAAGCCTCACTTCCATAACCAAATTTATTGAAAATGAGAGTCAGTCAAACCTAAGACAGGAATAGTGAAGCAACCTCATCTCTGACATGTCGTCTGTGTATCGGCACGTCACACGTGCGTTTGTAAAGATTTTCAACACCCAAACGTAAAACTAACTTGTGAAATTATAATAAGTAAAAAAAAAAGATTATGCAGTTTCTAATAATAAATATATATATGTATCATGTGGGAAAATTATACTGTCCCATCTCAAAATAAAAATGAAATAAAGAAAAAATATAAAAGGTTAAGTGATACTGATGCCATATGCACTCATTCACATGTAGAGCATATAATAGTGAAAGACTACTACAATAATGTGAGCAGTACATTATCCATTTATCCTTAAATCCCAAAAGCAAAGAGCACCTTATTCTTTCTTAAATCAGTAATATTTCCACACCTCCATCGGTGGTTTCTTAACACAACCTCTTAAAAAAAAATATTAATAAAATAATAAAAACTAAGAAAGAAAGAGAAGAAACATCTATTAGTTTCCTTTCTAAGGCACGATTCCAAACCTTTTAACAAACTCTTTTAACATATGCCTTCTTGTGATTGGTTTATATTTTTTTATAATTTAAATATTAATATTTTTCTTTTTTAAGAAACTTTCAGAGTATATAACCGATGAAGATACCTTAGGTTCTCTATAGAATATTCATATACTATATATAATAAAAATTCCACATACGTCGAACCAAGTATTAAACTTTTGAGCAATGTACAGAGAGAAAAAAGATTTATATAATGCGAAGGCAGAGCATACATTACAACAATCTCTTTCAATTTCTGAGTCAATCAAAATCACATGCGTGAAAAGACTAAACTCTCTTTAGACTCTCTCTCTCTATCTCTCTCTACCTCAGAGCTCTCGGCCACTTTGTAGGACAGTAACTATCAACATCAAACTATTACAGATAGAAAAAGATAGATCCAATGGTAATGGTTCAAATATGTTGACGAATTTACATTTTTGACTAAGACTTTTAACATACTTCATATCAAGATGTTGAAAGAATATCAGCCGTAAAAGAAAAACAAAAATGGTTGTTGAGTTACGTGCGTATCGAACCAAGATATGTTGCAACTGTTATGACTTCCTAGCTTTACCGTAGCAGTCTATTAGTGAAACTGTCCGTAGTGTCCGGTAGAACACTAGCATTTTCCGGTGTAGAGAGTTTGTCTTCATTATCTTCGGACCGTTGAGACTCGTTTTTGAACAATAAAGAAGCTTTGTTGGGCTTCGTCTTAAATTCTGCTTGGGCTTGTTCTTCTTGGTCCATCTTACTTTTTCCTTGTCCACAAGTAAAGCAGTGTCGTTTTGAACAGCAGAACCCTTTGCTCTCTTCTTCATTCGACTAGTATTTGCACCAAAAAAGGTTATGTACGTTTGATCTGAACACAAACAATTAGCAAACAAACTTTGTTTAAGGTTTTGAATGAGTTAAGTATTTGCACCCCCAAAAAAAAAGGTTAGGTACGTTTGATCTAAAAACAAACAATTACTAAACAAAAACTTTGTTTAAGGTTATGAATGAATTAAGTATTTTCACCCCAAAAAAAAAAGGTTAAGTAAGTTTGATCTGAACACAAACAATTAGTAACCTGGTCGCAGCATTAACAACAACAAAAAATGCAAAAACAATAGAACCGTGTTCCTCAAGGAACCAAAATGGAATCCATTAGGGTTTAAAGATTAAGTAAGTTTCAACACAAACAATTAAAATAACCTGTCCATTACAAAAACAAAAACAAAAAAAAAAATTGCAAAAACTATAGAAACGTGTTCCAAAAGGAAAAAGGAATCCATTAGGTCTTTGGATTTTGGATTTAACTAAAATTCCTAATTCCAGCGGTTGTAGGATAATTCGTGTTTATAAATAAATTGAAGCCAGAAGAGAAGAGAATTGAAGTCACGAAGAAATCAAAAGAAGAAGACACAGAGACAATCTCATCATCGATGGAGGAGAAGAAGAGTCACGAAAAAGGCAAGATTGCTTCATCATCGTCAGAGAGAGGAAGGAGACGAACTGTGAGGAGACGATATGAATACGATGATGCGTCATGGAAGAGCAACGGAAGAAGAATTGAAGACACACCCATGGAAGCAGACAGAAAAATTGCCTCGTGGAGAATAAGTGAAGACACAGGATCATGGAAGAGAACTGAAAGAGGAAGCAGAAGAAGAAGAAGCAGAGAGGTGATTGAGATAATCAACGACGACGTCCTAGAAGAGATTATGTTGAGGCTTCCCGTGAAATCTCTAACCCGATTCCAAAGCGTGTCTAAACACTGGAGACTTATGATAACGTCGAGATCTTTTAGGGAGAGATACAAGTTGCATCAGAAAACCCAAGAACCCAAATTTCTATATGCCTATGAAGATAGAAACTGGCACAAAGGATACTTTACTTTAAAGATGATGAGGTTGAAGCGGACTTGTCTAGTGGAAGAAGACGATTATCATACTAGTGATGGTGATGAAGACGAACTCGCAGACGAAAAGAACGTGGGGATGGTTTCCTGGAGTCTTGATGGTCTTGTCTACCTCTGTGCCTACATGGACATGGCAAGAAAAATCAAAGTGATAAACCCAGCCACGAGATGGTCCTACAAGGTTCCTCTTGCCAGGATTCAAAGAGAGTGTTATTTTGAAGAGAAGGACTCAGTGTTCCATCTCCCAGGATTTGGAAAAGACAACGTCACAGGGACATACAAATTAGTCTGGTTACATCAAAGATACAAAAACACCTTATCATGCGAGGTTTTCGATTTCGGAGTGAAGCAATGGAGGCATGTGATTCCACCTTCTCCTGATCATGGCTTAAAGGACAAACGCTCACCAATTTTTGCAAACGGGTGGCTTTATTGGTTCCACCAAGACAAGACGAAATTGATTGCTTTTGATCTTCACACGGAGATGTTTCAAGTGGTTCCAAATCCTATTGTTGAGGCATCATCATCTGTTTACATGCATATGGACAGCATAGACGATCATCGTCTTGTTTTGTTTTCAGAGACAAAT